CCCCCCCCCCCCCTCCCATTAAGGCATCACCGTCCCTACCACCTTCCTCAATCGATCATCTCAAGTCAACCGATGCCTCCTCTTCGTTCCTGCCGTATGTCGTTGTGGCTTGCATTACTGAGTACTGTTGAATTGTCAAGCATAAGCTCAACCCCATTGTGGCACAGTAGGTGATTAAGGGCAAGTGAGGGGTGGGAATGATTGTGAGAGCTAGAGAAGGGGATGACGTCCGGGCACCAGACGAAACCGTATCCAACGTTTGCGGAATGGGTGGCTGCGAAGAGAATAGCGGGATGGGAGCGTGTCTGGATATGGGCGGAGGGCGACGCCAGCTGTGAGCGGTTGGTGAGGAAGGGGTGGTCCCAGTTGGTGGTGGCTGGTGGTTTCCTTCAGCAATAATACGTTGTTGTCGTGGTCCATATCGCATCACGTTTGTTTTTGGTTTGGCGGCTTGAACCTTGCCTTGTCAAGGAGACACATAAAAATAATGTGGTACATTTGGTTGATGCCAAGTGCGTGTTGTCGTGATGCTGTGAGGTAGAGAAGCAATTTCCGGTTAGTCACCAGAGGCGACCGTGTCTCACGTTGCTGGCAAGGAGGTTTACGATGAGAGTGGCGGGATGGGGCCGCGGGTGGGGGTGCGGATGGGAGCTGGTCGGGGTTTGGACGGGGTTATTGGTAGTGGACGAGGAAGGAATGAACCGACTGGTCGTGGTTAGTTTCCCACAGCAAATGGGTATTGTTGTCGCGGTCCTGCTCGCAACGTTGTGGTTTGTCGGCGCTTTGAATATTGACTTCTCAACGATAGGCACCACCAAAAACACGGTGCACTGCGTAGTTGAGGCCAGTGAGGGTCGGGGATGATGCTGGAACGTGGAGGGCGGGATGCCGGCTAGTTGGTCACCCGAGGTGACCGTATCTGGCGTTGGTGGCATGAGGTTGGCGAGGGGTGTGGCGGGACGGGGCCTCATGGTGGTGAGGGCGGGGTGGAGGGTGTGGATGTTGACTGTGGGCGGGAAAGGGGTGGTGTTTTGCCGTATTGAATGTCGACTTCTCCAGGGTTCACGTAGAGGGGCGTCAAAACGTTGAACAGGAGGACTTGGGGGTCGACAATGATGCTTGAAGGTAGAGGGGGAGGTGTCGGCTGGGTGAGCACCAGAGGCGACCGTGTCTGAGGTTGGCGGCATGGAGGTTTGCGAGGAGAGTGGCGGGGTGGGGGTGAATAGGGACGGACGAGTTGGGTGGACCAGCTGAAGGTAGTAGGTGGGGTCGTCCCGATTGGTCGTAGTTGGTTTCCTTGAGCAATGAACGTGATCTAGCGATGTGGAGTGCCGCATGGTTGTCTTGGCGTATTGAATGCCAGAAAATGGGTGGAATTTACTGTCGGCTGTACAATGGTAAAGGCGTCTGCCTTTTGGTGCTTCGTGCCACGGATAAACTACGTCGCAACGGTGCAGGTTCATTGCTCCTTGCTTGAAGCACCGACAGTCGAATGTTAAGGAGGGCCCAATTCGCAGGGTCTCCGTCGATCGACATTTACCAGCATCGGTACACCTTCGCATATGGCGCCGTCTAGGACACGAATACCCTTTTGATCCACATTTTCTCCAGATTTGGACATGTTCCCATGTAGTCCACACAAATAAAATGTGTGTCAGTCCTGAGAGCACCTTCTGGAGTCGATCCTACAAAGAATCTTTGACACGTCCATCGAATTACCCGTCCTGGCCACAAGAGGTTCCCAGTTGAGGGTAAATTTTGTGGGTGGAGAGTATTTAATACGACCAGATTTACAGGGTATCCGTCGATTGACTTTTACCAGAATCGGTAGACGTTCGCACGATGCCTTGTCTCGTTTTCGTGAGGAGCAGCCTCGTCAGGATTCAATAGCGAGTGAGAGAACGGCATCGCTGAAGTTCGGTTGCACCGCTTCTTGTGGGAGTCAAGTTGCGAGAATAGTTCAAGTTTGCAAACTTTCCTCGCAACTTTTGTCATGCACGCTCTTCATGTTGTGAGCGAAAAGTTGCGCCAAAAGTTTGGAAACTCCTAATTTGACAATAATCGCGCGATCTTGCAAACTTCCAAACTCTTCTCGAGACAAAAGTGCGAACAAAAGTTCGGCGGCGAGACCTCCGCCAATTCACGTCAAGCACCTGCCCGTACCACACACAAGCGCACGATCTATGCGATAGATGAACGGCAAGTCAGAATACTTGAACGACGAGTTGGAGTTGCCCGCGATGGCCGCAGCTGTGGAGAAATACTTATTCTTAGAAGTCTGCGTCAACAACTCGTGTTGGATGCGAGCATGATTAAGGTCTTCCTGGCTTCGATTGGAAGTCACAACGCCAGGATGAGTGCGACCAATTCGTTTTCCAAGCTTTTTTGCACGCTCTGGCCGGTTTCGCTGTGTGGTATGAAGCGGGTGTACCTGCCTCGCACCGTTGCAACAAATGATCACGCCTCCGCATTCCACCAATCAGTCTCGTGAATAAACGTTGTTTCGCCCCACAGTAAGCGTGCAAAAGTTCCCAACAAACGGTACCAAAAAACTCCACCTTTTCTCGCATTTTCATGCTCTTAGAAATAACGATGTTATAACAACTTTTCCTGTACGTCAGCGGGCGGGTCCAGTTGCAGCGAAAGTCATCAGCATTTCACCACTCGGGTCGCACGCAAAGTCAGGCCAGAATAGTTTTATGAAAGGACGCAAGAGATAACGCCAAAGCCCACGTGCTATCATACAACACCATCATGCTATGAACAAAGCTCCTGTATAGAGTCGTGCCGCGATCAACCCGCCGCGATAGTCGTTCTGAGTGAGAGAAACTCGATATCTGAGCCAAAAATATACCTTCTTGATGGTTTCCGGAGGCGCATAACGCGAATAGGCGATTCAATAGTTCTGCAGATCAACGGTAATGATCCAACGATGTTGCAAATGTACTGGCAGGCCCCGAAAATGATCAAATCGAACGGGCTAAATTTAATCAAAAACGAGCACGGAATATTTTACTGTTCGTATAATATGTTTTCATTTGTTTTCATTTTTGCAAATAGTTGTAAAACATTTCCAGTGTCGGGGACGTAAAATGTGCTATACCCTACTGCGATATGACTCAATACGTCGTAAGGGCGAAACATTACGGGCAAGAAACGGCGAAACAGTCGCAGGGTGGAACATATAACGGCCGCCATTTCTCACGCGTGTCGAGTACGGCCACCGTCCGTGGCGTGAGTTGTAAAACGGTGATGCCCCATGTAGGGAATTCTATCGTGATTAACAAGCTCTGAAACCGGTAGGAAAACGGGGATAGATCTTGCGCTCTCTGCCGCGTACAAAGCGAATGATGCAAGTCAAGTTAAACTCTAGACTGAAACGCCTAACTCACCCTTCAATGAACGCTCCCTCACACGATTTGTCGAATTCATCTAGACTGTCAGAGTTTACATGATGAAACATTGCCGTATTATTTATAGAGAACGCCCTGGGAGGCGCCTCTAGGTCCTTTCGTGAAACACCACTTCGGGGAGTTTTCGACCGCGGAAGGGCAAACACTCAAAACCGGCATGTAGGTTTGAGCTTCGTCGGTGAACTTCCTCTTTGGGGCGTTCTCAAACGATATCACCGTAGGATCGCTATGGCTCCCTCCAGGCAGTGGAGTTTCAATGCACACCCGGATTTCGGACGCCTGGCAAACTCTTCAATTCAATACCACCAGGAACAACCCAAAACCGAACGATTGACATCGAAGAATGACTAAAAAATCCGCCAAACCGTCGTAGGGGCTCATTCTCTCTTTGAGTCATCTGGTCTCAATGAAAGCACTCAAGACATTTGCAACAACCGGTCTCCTGCCCTATTACCAACCCTGCCACCTACTCTACCTTAAGAACGAGATAATATTGTTTGGCATAGAACCAAAGGACTGACCAATCCGGCAACAGCATTTGTTCAATCAGTCGATGAAACTTTTGCTTCTGAAAATCATTAACCATTTGAAAACCGCGTGTTTTTACTCTCGGCAGGCGTAACGTTGGACGTTTGGGCATTCACTCTCACTTTCCCTGTACACGTGTGGACAAAATCTTGGAATGGGGGTCGGATCCTACGTGGACATTGTGACTCCCACCCCCTTCAACTCGGGCCATATCGGGCTACAAAACTGAGGTCAATAACAACCGCGTTCCAGTGCGACAACTACGCAATAAGCCACCATACCCGGGAACTCCCGCTCAAAATAGCAACGTCCCAAAACGTTACGCCGCCATCAAACGCTGCAGCATGCCCATCAAATACTGTCTTCAGGGGGTAGTACGGCTCCACACAAACGAGGAATAATATATATTATAGTGTACATGCACTATCACATGGTAGGAAAAAGCAACAAGGCTCCGGCGCGACAAGAAGAACAGCATCCCCCCCGGGATGCCTGTTTTCGTGCAACCTCCACAACATGAATACTCGTGGTTTCAGCAACAGTCGGAGATTATCTCCCGGTGGGGAAATACGCGAAAAGTCCTAGTTATCTCTACGTCCATCCGCCGCAGCCGTACGTACTTCCCCCATTCCCGCCCAACTTGCTCGACTCGCTGCTGAGACGCGGGTACCAACGGACACCCCAAAGCCTACCTAAAGAGAATACGCACATGTTCCGATGCGGGTGGTGGACTATGCATCCCTAAACGATTGCCACTCAATCGTGAGTGGTCTTCAACAACGAGAAAACAAGTCTAAAAAAACTATTGTTTCACCTACGTCCGTCGTAAGAACGACTGGTCGTTGCACACCTGGAGATGGCCCCGACGGAGGAAAGGAAGCCACACGCGGACAGGGAAGAGACCGGACCGGCAGCGAACCAGGAACAACACAGTCCGTGCCCCGGTCCGTTCAAGGCAGAGCAAACAGCAGCATGGCCAAACTCTTTCGTTTGTGTGCGTGTGTGTACTCTTGGCCAAGCGTGCATTTTGGTGTTCACGTCGAAAAAGCATGGCCAATTTTCATACTGAGAGCATTGTTTCAACCGTTAAGGGCGTAGATTCACGGTGTTTTTGATATTCTATCGTCTCCACTTCGCCTCGTTGCGGAATGACTCTTCAACCTTGAATTTGATGATAGTCTACCTTCCACTGAACAAAGATGAAAATGGCCAGCGTGGCACAGAGGCGACCGCGAAGGCAACAGAAGCAACAAAGACGTCGCCACCAACAAGAACCAACCTACCTCTTGAAACCACTCCAACCCCGCCGTCAAGCCATGTTGCACGGGGACCCTCAAACAGGCTCGCCGAACATGAGTTCTGACGACTTCCAAGAGCTCATCCAACCACTTCAGCGCGGAAGACGGGGACAAAGGGCAGTACATAGAGTCGGCAGTTACTGGCATCGATGCAGGAGTTCTACGTGTATGCAATCCATCACACATGACAACCGCCACATGTCGTTTCGTTTCGACTGTTCTCTCGCACAAGTACTGCTAAGGCGTAGACATTCCGTTCCCAATCAAGGACGCCAGATGGGAACATAGATAGGTACAATAGCACTTGCATTGAAGCTTAGTGCTGGGACGAACAGACGACCATTGACGATGTCCACGCCGGGTGATGTGAGGGAAGCGCTCGCCAGAGGCATGAAGTAGGAAACCTTTCGACTCGAACGTTAGGATACATCCGAACGCGCTCGAAATGCCTCAGAGCACCCTTGAGGTGTGCTTCTAACAACGTGACTTGCCGCACTCGAAAAATGCGGCTTTGCTACGCGGAACGGTTGTGACGGTATCCATGTCGCACCTCCACGAAAAGCTGGTCCCGCCCCGGCGGCCGGTAGCACCTCGTAGAAAGCAACGCGCGCATCAATCCGTCGGACAGAAGGTCATCTGCGGCCCGTTGCAACCTCCCGTTGGTAGGGGTATGGTCGCTACCGTCCTGGTGGGCATGTTCCCAGTACCCACTCAGCGCTCTCCCAGCCAAGATCCCGTCACCCAAGCACTATCATCGAGGAGAAAAGAGACGAGGGGCGAAAGGCATAGCACAGTACGTGTGCAACTAGACATTGGCTATGTATTGGCCCTTCCACGACTTGAAATGCCCTCAAGATGCGCCTGTACAAAGGTTCTGATTGTTTTCGGGAAGAAGCAGTTTCCCACTTGGCACAACATCTGGTAGGGATAGGTATGGAGTCGAACCCTACGGATGTTGGTCGATCACTTTTGAAGCAATTGGCATGCGGCGAATACCCCTGCGTCATCATTCCCCGGAAAACTGCAGGTACACTCTAGCGCATACGCCTGGTGAAACTCGTTCTGCTTCCTCACCTCCCACGCAAACACAAAGTCGTCCCATGTGCCGCTGCCACCACCGCCGCTTGTCCCTCCGTTGCCTTCACGCCTGTCGCCAGCGCGGCTTAGCGATTCATGCAAGATGATCTCGCACTCAATGCGCACGGTGTGCGGGGGGGCCACGCAGTCAAGAACCTCCTTAAGACGCGCCGACCTGTTCCCTCGAGGTGCTCGCCACATTCCACTATCGCTGAACTTGGGATCGGTGACTTTCGCGTCGCCACCGGGGTCACCGCCACCACCGCGATGGAGCCTATCCCCTACAGTCGCAGGCCCGCTCCCCGAGTGGCTTTGGTGGTAGTGGACGACAACGCTCGAGTGTCCTCCAATGTTGCCACCCCCGCAGTTTCGGCGAGCCCCGGTCTCGGGGTCGTACTGGCAGCTTTCACTTGGCGTGCGCAAGGCCTCGAGCAGCCGCTGAGTCTGCTTGAAAACCTTGCGGGCACCTTTGGAGCGAAGCCCTAGCCCCTCCGAAGTGAGAATCTCGTCGGCGGTGGCTATTTTGCTGATGTCACTGCCGTGCCCGGGGGCATGGCTGGTGGTTTTGGTCAGTGTTCTCAGACGCGCTCTGCCGAATTCTCCACGCTCATCGTCTTCTCCGTGGTGTAGGCGTTTCTCTATTTCGCAGCTCGTGCGACCAAACATTCCCTTTCCTCCTCCTCCAAGATTGGAACACGAAGTAGGTAGCGAAATCTTAGGTGGGTTTTGGCTGTTGAAAGCCCGGGGCTCGACATGACAAAGGTGGGAGGAACAACCTAGCGTCGTCTTTCCCTCCTGCTGAGTCGTCAAAATGATGCCACAATCGTTGGTGGTCCCTTTCCAGCAGCCTGTTACCCCCTGTCCCACGCCATCTGTATCATCCCGCGTCGATTGTTGCCACCGTCGTCGGGTCTGAGCTGCTCTCACTCGTATGACCGCCTCCATGTATTCCCTATACGCCGGCTGATCGAGATGTGCGATGGCCACGCTCTTACATCGTGGCCGCTCGAGTTTCAGCGCGACGGGCGACTGTACCCAATTTTCCATCACGCTTGTACCATATCGCTCCGATATCGAAGGCAGCCCGAGGCGTCCCACCCGCCCCATCGGCTTTTTCTTCTGGTAGCGCCCCCCCCTGGTCTTGCCAACAGCCACAGGGGCACCCTCGGCTAGTGCTGGCACATCCCGCCCGTGAAGACTAGAGGAGGCTGGTGGGACGACACACTCCTCGGATGCAGCGACCTGTAGGAGGCCACCGTGGCGAGCAAACGGTGCGTTCCGCGTCCTATTGGGACGTGTTCTTCCGGCTCTGCGAGGTAAAGTGGCATCGCCGCCGGCTGCTACCATTTCCCCCGATGATCGCATCTTCGCCATGTTGATTGACAGAAGGATGGATGACGGGTATTCGGGTGGGGACCCTCTACCTTCTGCCTTTGAAACTCTTCTGTCATTTGAGCCCTCCTTTTCGTTCAAACTAATTATTTCCCTGGCCACTTCTTTTTCCTTTGCAACCTCCTTTCCCCGCAGTGCACCCTTCTCCTTACGGCGGTCCGCGGTGGTAGAGGGGGGCGCAAGAGGGGCCGTATTTGCAGCGGAGTTTGTGTTGTCAGGGGGCTGCCTGTGTCGGCGACTTTGGTCGTTGGAACGCCTGGCATTTTGATGTTCCTTGACGACGGTCGCCAGTATGTTGCACCGGTTGGCCTGCGCCGTCATGGCGCTGGTGGTGCGGACCTCGTTCGTGGCTCTGGTGAACACGCATCTTCGAGGGGTTATTCCCGGTCGTCCAGGAGAGGGTCATGAAAGGCGTGAATGACGGGCGAGATAGAGACAGAGAGATGAGGGAGAGGAGGCCGGTAGACGGGGTGGGTGGGAGGGGGAGCGAAACCGGATTTGACTAGAAACAGCACGTGGAGAATACTAAAGATATCTTCGTCGCGAAGCACATCTGAATTGTGCTTCGCGCGAGTGCACAGGCTCAATATCGGAACAACACACTGCACACTGGTACACATGCTGTGACAGGTATGATCCGAAACATCCGCTCGCCTCTTCTCCAAAGGGTTCTTGTGTGAAAACACGTTGTAACCATTTTCAATGACTAGGTGGGCTTCATTCGCACAGCAACAACAAACCTTCACCAGGCTTGGGTGTCCTTGTATGCCAACGTTTCCTGTCGTTCTAATCCAATCAACGCCGACGCCTTCCATGGTCACAAGGTCGACTGCTGAACAAGGACACCCTGTACGTTTTGTAACATCAACTAGGGAAAAACTCGGAAATACAAAGAGTAAACAGCAACACCAGGAAATTTCTCACATCGACAAAGGGGCTCCAGCTACAAGGGAAACAGGGAGGTACACGGCGGACCTTCCCGCCATCTCTATCCATCATATTCAGCTCGCGGTCGATATCTAGCTACACATGTTCTCATCTCGCTCCTGCTCTCCAAACGTAGCTCCCCCTTAGGATGAGCGTTTCCACTCTTAGTCCCTCGTGTGTGTCTTCCCTCCGTGTAATTGATGACTCTAGACACGGTTGAGAGCGCGTCAATCGCCACACGCGGCGCACCTTCGGTCGCACTCCAGCTTGAGACGATCCTTCGATCGGATGAGGGCCCCCTTTCGCTTGCTCAACTTGTCTTGGACAGACCAACAAAGTTCTTCCTGGTCCTCCACTCTTGTCTGTTATGCGTTAGTCATTTCCATGTTTCCATGCGCAGAAAATATGAGAAAGTCAAGACATATCGAGCATGAAAGGAGCACTCTACGCGTAGTGGTGTAGTGGTACAACAACGGCATCACCATCAATCATCTTCAGGCAACACAAAAAAATCCTTTAGAAAATGCCCTCATGTTTTCTTGTGTGGAACCCGGATACTCTCCTGCGCGGGGAATCTGTACGTCTCCTTCTCTGCAAGTAGTTACCACACCTTTGCTCCGTTATTTCGTGTCCGACGGCGCCGAATCATTTGTACAGTTCAAAGACCTTGGAGCGAAGTATCACATATTTTTTCCCCGTCAGTGCCTTTCGAAACATGATTGCCCCACCTACCGCTCACCACATGTACGCTCAACGTGCGCAACGGAAAACAATAGATCTGAGGTTCGACATGGGCAAATAAAGGATGACAACGTCACACAGCGTACGGTCCTTCTCTGCTATGCCCTGGCCTGTTTGCTGTGACTTCATGCATATAATGGCTTCCCTTTGCGTCGTAACAAAAAATGGTTCACATGTTTTGGCACTCTTCGCCTAAAAACTCCACTATCGCGTTGTTGCGGGATGTACGTCAACAAAATACCTGTACAGTTGTAACAAAGCTCAGCGGACGTGATACCTTCGCGGACTGCTTTGCCTTTGTCCATGGACCAACTATCTGAGCACATTTATTCTTTCCCAAGCGCTCGCAGCATTTCCGCCGGGTACGACCTCCAACCCTTGGTCACACAGGAGGGCCCCTTCCCCTGGGGCCCCTTCTGCGGTGCTTGCCTTCGAATTTTACCGCGAGAAGATTTACGTACGTGTAGGAACAAATAGTTTTCCAAATTCAAAGTGAGCGTGTACGTTCTTCTACATACATACTGCTGTAGAACAAAGAGGTCCGTCATGCCCACGATGACCTCCTACGTACAGCAGCAGTTATTCATAGTATCCTTCAAGCCTTCATACTTATACTGCCGCAAATACAATGTGTCTCTGTCCAGATTACACTTTTCAATATCTACCTGCGAAAGGAGGTTGTTTAGAAGCCACATGCCCCGCTCATCTAACGGCGCCATCTTCTTGATTCGCCGCAGGCAGCGGCTCAACGTCGCACCAGGTCGTGGAGAAGCAGGAGAGCTAAAACGTCCGCCTATCGCCACCTCTGTGCCTCCCCCCTTCGCTACTGCCGACTGCTGCACTGCTTGCTCTGCCGGCGCTCCAAGCCCCTTGCGTCGCCTCCACTCCTTCAAAACAGAGTCGGGGACCACGACGCCGTCGAGGGAATGCGTCCGGAGAGTGGGGAGACACTCGTCGTCTGCTCCATTCTCGTCGTCGCCAATACCAGAGTGCACACCCCATCCCATTTTTCTGAGCTTTGTCTCGGATGAGTACGAGAGCAAAATTGTATATGTGTGCTGTAAGTCCTCCCGCTTCCGAGTCATTCAAAACGCGGATACGATCAAAAGACTGGTCAATGACGAGCGCGCACGACACCTGACAAAACCTCCCAAATTCATGCTTATGCGGGTGAATAACAGCAGCAGTCTCTCCCACCCCGAACCGGTACGTACACGGGTCTCCAAGCCACCCCCCCGCCTTTTCACCAGAGAGAGAATCACGGCACCCCCAACCAACCGTTTTTTTTTTTTTTCGAAGTATGACACAACGAATCCATCTGTATCATAGAAAAGAGTTGTTGTTGTTGTTGTTGTTGTTGTTGTTGTTGTTGTTGTCTTCACATTAAAAACCGTTCCGATCTCTCTCTACCCGGTACCTTCGTATGTCCGTACCGATCCAACACTCGACGCGGTCGATTCCCGTGGTCACAGGTTAACTTACCCTAAAAAGGTACACTCAAATAAACTGGCGCCGAGGGGTCCGCAAGTCAATAGAAATCAACGACAGATATTCTGGGATCCTCCGCCCCCTCTTCGCGCTATGCGGGGTATCAACTGAGATTAGCAGTCACTATCTATCATGGGCCGGAGAGAAAGAGGTACAGTCCCTTGGTTCAATCTTGGTACTTCACAACGCAAGCAGAGACAAGTCCATCTGGCACAGAAAAAGAGAGAAAAAAAAAAAAAAAAGAGAGAAAAAAAAGGACAAAGAGAAAAAAAAGGACAAACAAGACAAAGAGAAAAAAAAGGAGAAAAAACAAAAATGGAAACCGTAAGGAGAAGAGAAAATAAATGAAAATAAGAGTCTGAGACAGATTAGCAATGAATTCGTTTGGCATGGCCGCGACCACGACCGACAGCGACATCCAGCGTACAACAGGAGAAGACCGCCACAGCTCTACAGCAGCAGATGATATGCCCCCAACACCCCACCCACAGCGGGCATCTCGAGGCCCCGAGAATGCACTGCACAACGCTTCCCGTCGTGGCGCCTCCGAGCTCGTAACAGCCCTTCTTTCAAGCGGAGAGCTGTTGATGTGAACCAGTGTGACCTGGATGGCATGAGCCCTCTCATGTTTGCCGCCGAGAAGGGTAGCTGCAGCGTTGTCAAGATCCTCCTAAAATACGGAGCCAATGTGTCAATCAAGGAGAATGGCGGTTTCACAGCTCTCCATCTTTCTGCGCAACACGGACACCCGGCCTTGACCACAGGCTCCTTGCGTCGGCCGGCACATCCCTCGAAGAAGTCAACGAACGGCATGTACACCGCTTCCCTTGGCAGCGCACCGGGGGCAATGGAAGGCGATGGAAGCTCTGATCGAGGCAGGGGCGAACGTCAACAGCCATGTGTTGGATGGAGCGACACCGCTGTTGATTGCATCCACTCAGGGATACAAGGACGCCTCTAAGGTGCTCCTTCGAGCGAAAGTGGACCCGCAGTTGCAGCAGAACACGTCGGGGAACCTCTTCGTCCCGTTGAACATGTTGGCCACGCGCGGGGACTCGGACGCAGTCCGCGAGTTGTTCCGGCACGTTGACATCGACGGCTGTGGCGGTCCAAGTAGAGGTGTAAATGCTCTTGTCACGGCCGCCCGAGACAAACATGTTGACATTATGGTACTACTGCTGACGGATGCCGGAGTGGTTGACACAGGAGGAGCACTGATCACTGCCGCCCACTATGGCGGCGTTGTATCCGTCGAGCACCTGCTGCAGCGGCAGAAGCAGACAGCTGCCGAGAGAAAAGCCTACGTTAACGCACCCGGCCTTTTCGGCGCAACGCCCTTGCTGTGGAGTATTCAGGCTTGCCGCCCGTGCTCGTCCAGAATTGCTCGATTGCTTGTTGACGCCGGTGCGGACACCACATCGACTGTCACGATGGCGGACGTGCAGGGATTTGGGCTCATGGCCTACACGCCCAAGGAGATCGCAATACGCAGGATCCGTCGGAAGAAGGTCGAGGGAAAAGAAGATATTGTAGCGACGAGCAGCTGCGCAGCGTGGAGGCCATCCGCCGCTTGCTGTTGCAAGTGGAAGCAGTTCGTGCGATCTCTTGGTTGTGGCCTGGCAACAATCCCTCCGTCGCTCACGCTGCTGCAGAGGGCACAGGCAGAACCTCCAGAGCTAGGCCTCCGTTGATCTTACCTCCATGACACGTTCTAAAGCCCGTCGTCTGCTCCTGGCGCCCCTGTTGAGGTAAGTGAGGGCTCTTTCGGCTTGGTAAAGTCATTGGTTTTGTTTGTGCGAGCGTAACGCTACTTACGATGCATGGGTTTTCTTCCAGGTGGAGGTTGCTGCTGTCTGTTGTGGTGATGCTGTTGTTGCTGTTACTGTGGCTGTATTGCACGATGTTCTGAAACGGAGCGTTTCTCGTGGTGGCCCGAATTCAGAGCTACGGCACCAGCGGCAGTTGAGCTGCTGAGGCAAGTTTTGAGGCAAGTTTTGTGGACACATCTGTCTGTTATGATGAATCGACCTCGCTGTAGAATATCCAGGCTGCCGCTCTTTCTCTTCCAAGTGCATGCATATGTGGCCACTCATTGACGTCGGAGAGAACGAAACACCGAACCTATTGATCTCGGAACCCAGACGTTCCGTGGTGATCGACACGCTTCCGACTTACAACCCCCATCTACCGTTTACCCAGTTCGACAGTCGCCTAAGCCTCGAGACTGTTCGACATGTTGTCTGTTTGACTGTAGGACAGTGACGTCCCGTCCATCATCTATATGCCGCTGCAGAGGATCCATGTAGTCACAGGACGATGCCGACCACTGAAACGCCCCTGAAGTTGATGTTCCCGATGCCGTGGCGAAGAACGAGAAAATTGTGATATGCGCTTGACAGCCGTGTTCATGAGGGTGGGGTAGCTTGCTGCCCGCCGTTAATCACCCCGTTTGCTCTTCGTCCTGCCCACATAACTCACCTGTTTTTGAAGGTTCTCGTCTAAGGCCTAAGCGGGCTTGGCTCGCGCGGAGAACACACGGAAGATGATGGGTTTTGCGGGATGACCGGCGCATGCGGTTCTACGAAACGTGCTACGCTGAAGCAACTTTGTGTCCAATGTCTTGCGCAGGCTAGGAAAAGCAACAATACTGCACAGTAGTAGCCCCATGTGTGCCGAGTGTCGAAAGTTGGTTTTGCCAAGCGCGTAGACTGCTCATTGCTGAGGTTTTTCTCACAAGCAACTCTGTGATGTGACTTCTATTGCATAGTAGCATACGAGTGGTAGAATAGGACCACACCGCGGTCGCCCCAGTGTCAATTTGTATCCTCTCAACATTCGAACAATATTTTGTTGGATGTGAGTTCTTGTTCGTGGCAGCCACACGATCTTTGATGCGTTGCCCCATATTCTACAGTAGACTAGTGTTTAAGATCGACGAGGGGGGCTGACCGTTGAATCCCTCTCGCCGACAAAGTGGAAAGCACCGCAAAAGGAAGGAAAATTGAACAAAACTATTGCGTGGCCCCGGCTGGTTCATTCAAGAACACCCAAAAGTGTAAAGCTAACGTCGAAATAAAGGATGGGGACAGGGGAATACCTTCGTGCGCGATCATTGCCGCTGCCTTCCGCAAGGTCATGCGGGGATTCCGTCTTCCAGGGTGTTTTTCGCACAACGCAAAGGGTGCGTTGGACAACTGTTTTGGCCTAGATGGCGCTTGTATGCTCAGCTCATGTGAAAAAACATCTGACCTCTTTAATGTTCAAGGTTGCCAGATGCATTCCCTCTATCATCCTCATTGTCTCAAGGTTGGGGCACCGGCAATATTGCGCTTAGGTGGGTAAAATCCCTTCATGTGCCGGTGAAGCCGTTCTTGTTTAGACAAGATCGACACCGTCATTAACCATCTGCACCAACAAGTGCGAGGGCGGAGGAGGTCTCTCTCCACAGGCTTAAGTATCATGGTCCCTCGTTAAGCTACCTCATTCTCCACCCGTACAAACACCTTGATGAGTTCCCCGACATATGCGTTGCAAAAGCATCGACACCCGAACACCTGTCCAGCTGGTCCGTGCGGTGATTTGAGAATATTGCCTACCTAATAGGTTGTACGTTTGCGCCAATCCTCTTCCTTCACGGCTGTTCAGACTTATCTTCTCGCGATTAGACCATTTTATCGTACATCGCCTGGATATTGACCTAGAGTCCCGACCGCCCGAAGGCTCGAGAATACCAATAGATCAAAGGGTAAACGCGACCCGTGGATTCCAGGATAATGTCTAAAAAAATAGAACAAAAGGCCATTCCCGCTGGAGCCAGCTGCGTCGGACGATCCCCAAGTAGTTCACTGGTCGGGACAAAAAACACGGCTTAAAGCAAGCTCCATTCTCCGCCGCGACCTCTGTGAAGCTAGGCCACCCCTCTAAAAGCATACGGGCATTCAAATGGCCCGTTAGTGATAAAACCAACACAATCTCGATCCCGTTCATGAAGACGCTCGAAAAGATGTGAGTCACAGATGTCCTTCACGTCCCGCCACGGTTCATCAAAACACGCTCCATACACCGGTTCTCCAATTGAAGTCGCACCACCGTGTTCTCCACGAGTTTAAGCTCGGACACTAGATCCTGACGTGCGGATTGATCAAGACGAAGCAAAGGAAGGAAAGGAGAGAAGCGCGGTCGAGAGAAAATATCGACAAACGTCGGAAAGGCCGGAATGATTCGATGCACTAGGTCGTTTCCTGCTTGCCTTAATCAGATATGTAGGAGATGAAGGTGAAAACCAAATAACCCAGGATGTCCTGGGCAGGTTTGTTTGGTCCGGTTTCCACAACTGGAGGCGGCCCATTCCTTTACAACAAGACCAACTGAAGTTTCCACAACTGGAGGCGACCTCTTCCTTGGCGACATGGCCAACAACAGCAAATGTACATAGTTGTCATGGCCTGTTACCCCTGCGTTCAGTTTCGCCTCGGCCCCGCTAAATGTGTAAGGGGCGGAGCGACGGGCAAAAAATATAGACACACAACGCGTTGACTACACCACACATTGAACCAGGTCTCCACCAAGGATCATACTGTACTATTAAAACCTTTTCTGTCCAAACGCACCTCCATGGTCTTTATCCCCGTGTCCAGTAACGCCTCGGCCTCGCTAACGTAGGGAGGCGGTACCGGACCAAATGCCTCCTCCAACGCGGACTGCTGCGCACCCTCCACCCCTAGCGGCACCACGGGGGATGGTCGCACATGCCCGTACTCCGCGGAGGAGTCCATGGTGAGGTTGTTGATTCGACACGGTAATACCTCCAGACTGGGTAAGGGCAAAATACGAGGGGAGAGGGCAAAAACATGATGGGAGACTGTCACAACATGAGGAGTTTGGCGAGCACAAGTCCAAGGTAAGGTTGATCCGGCGAAAGTACGCTCCCAGGCTAGGACATCTGATAGCAGAGGGAAAGGATAAGGAATTGGCCCATGTTGCACTTGCATGTGCTCAGAAGTTAATTCTGGGAGAGTCTCAGAACACCAAACAGGGTCTAACCCTGAGGCATGTTCAGAACTCCGGGGGAAACAAAAGAATAACTTGCTGACTTACCGGCCGGCACCCTGTGGCCCTCCAACCCCACCCTGCGCCGTGAGGCACTGGTACTGAAAGCTCTGGGTGGGAGCACCGTCCCTCAATCTGAGACACGCCACAAGCAGCACAGGGAGCTGTCCCGAAGCGGACGATGACGCTACCATGCCGCGGAACACCTTTGGACCAAAAGGGATAAATGGTCAGAGAGTGGTACAATTGGTTGCATGTGACGCCAGTATCTACCGCGTACTTTCAAGCAGACAACGAGGGCAAACCAAAACCTCGCCCCATTGTCTCTCAACATAAAAAACGCGAGCGCTCCCGTTGACCCTTCGCCAATGCCCCAGTTAATCTTGCCGGTTTCACAAGGCCTTAATTGCCCACGTTCAACACAGACAGCAATGAGCAGCGAACGGATACGATACCGCGGCAGCGGCGGCGCGGGATTCCCGCAACAATTTCCGGGAAACCCCGAGGTGCACCCTTTCAGATTTATCGAGACGCGTGCTTCTGTGCCACCACACATGATGATGAACACACACTTCCATCCTCAGCCAAGCCCCCTCCCACCCCACCTCGCCTTTAACGCTGTCCTCGCCCCATCATCTAGGGTCTGACTGTAGAACCACCATATCATGGAGATGGTCGCACCTCGATTTCTCGGAGTGACGGGCGGGTAGAACCCCCCTTGTGTACGACAAAGTAGCCCGCCAATCGCTGGGAGCAGCACGACCGGCCCAGAGCGAAGGTAACGAGACGTACAAATAGCATAGGGGCAGCGAGAGGTGAAAGAGATGAAAACAAGACCATAGGACACATCGGGTGTGCATCGAACAACAGCATGCGTGCCATGAGCATTGCCACAAGAAAAAGTTCAAAGTGCTCTTGCCACGGGCGTTTCGCTTTCATCAGCAGAAATCACGAATATCACGTAGTTCGGGAGTTGCACACTGGCATGTCCCTTGTACCTCGACGCTACCCAACGAACGAGAACGGCGGCATGAGCAAATATCATCCTGCGTTAACATCTAAACAACGTGAAACGCTGGGACTTACGGGTGGCGGTGCTGACTTCTGCCTGCATGCTGGTGGGCGTGTGCACAATGAGCGCGCCATTCAACACAATTTACTTCGGCCGTTCCCGACGTATAGTTTCATCCACAGTTTCATTGGGTCCATTTTGGTGCTAGATCGCACGCTTCACCGCGTCGGATGGAAATGGCCAGACAGTCCACGCATGTCTGTATACCTGCCCTTGAGGAATGAGCAAAGCCAATCGCCCCTCGTCGATCGCCCCGAACTCATCGTAGAAGCCACACCGTGCCGGTGAACGAACGTAACCCGACAGCGCTGTTCTTCCCACAAGGGGAAACAAGTGTTTCGGGAGGGAAACGCCCGGCCGCAATAGTCGGCACAACAGCGACAGAACGGTTGAAAGGACGCACGCATCGCGAGCGGAAAACCAACAACAGCAGCAGGACCATGAGAACCAAGGACGGAAAACAAAAAAAAGAAGACCGGGCACGAAACAGTGCAACACAATCTTCACATCGCTGCAAACACGTTATTGAGACGGTGGGCAATCTCGGGCCGGCAGCGCCCGTGCAACAATCTGCTGCCCCCCCGTGTGGTGATGGAACCGAATCTCGATTTCCAAATGTGAAAGCATACAACACAGCGGTTTCATAATACGCGACCGATGTACTGCAACACGTACGAAAGAGGCTCAAAAATCACCAGGACACGTCAATGCGATAATGTGCTGTCTTCACCACGCCTGTCCTGTCTTCACAACGCTGGTCACTGCGTTCTCAGAAGGGTCAACTACTGTTGCAGGCAAATTTCTTGAGACCCACCGGCCTCCCGATGAGTTGTCGCCCGCCGCTCGTGGTCGTCTTCGGTTTCAGTACCCTGCCGACGGTTTACGCTTCCGAAGAGGAGGCCGTCTGTGTAGCGGGTGCCCTGTTTGTCCCACACAAAAACGGTACACAAGCAGTCCAAAACGCGCGATCAAATGCTGAGGAGGCTTTCCGCCATAGAAATCAAAGATTCGCGAAGTAGCTGAGACGTTTGCAACGACGAAGGTTTATCTGTGCGAAGCTCCCAGCAAATGCTTAAGCCGCCTGATATGCACCGTTCGCTATTTCCCTTTCCCCTTTGGTGGTGCTCAAAGTCTTATGCCTCCACCTCAAACAATGAGATGCTGCGGGTTGGCTTCTGCGGGAAAAAGAGACTCCCAGAACCTACGTGTGAAGCACTACGCACAGGCGTTATCGTCAGACTTCTGTTGCAGCAAGTGGAGTACTCTATGGTACGGCAGGTAGGGGGGCACACCTTAGACTCTGACAACAAAAGATTGGATCGGAACATTTCTCCGTGCTGCCAAAGTAACACCACTGACTCCCAGAATACCCGGGGCTACTTGATTCCCGTCAAGGCTGTAATTGAGGCTATCAATTCGGTCGGGTCATCGACCAGGGGATGCTTGGAGCGAAGCGTCTGTGAGTGTGGACCTTGGTATACACACCAGCGCTTCAAGAAGCGGACAACAGTGACAACAACCTCCTACAAGCCGGGCAGTGCAGGTCGTGCTTTCAAAGACTTGATGCCTGCGTCCAGTCCCCCTTCTTAGGGCTTTGAATACAAAATTCGGTGCACCCACAACGCAACAGCAGCAGTGTACCGGTGTGAAGTCAGAGGCTGTTGCGTGCATAGTGCGTGAGCAACATGTTGCCCACCGACGATCTAGCGGTTCCAAGCTGATAGCGGTTCCAAGCTGACGTGCTCGTGAACACGAGTCGTAGTCTTTTAATTTCGGCATATTTACAGAAACCGCTTGGTTCGAAGATTGTCTTGGGTCTGGTCAATATCAGTGCATCCGTACAGCTCCTCGCTACGGCTCCCGAGGTCGGAAGTTGAAGAACACAGGGGAAGGGAATGCGGAACAACCAAAGCGCGGATGCGGACAAATAATGAAATTGGCTATTTGGCTCCAGCTGTCCGCCGCTATTGATTCTCTGCTGCATCTTGGCCTATCGATTTATATCAGTGAATGGGCCAGGTATTTACCTCTTACCATACGTGCTGTGGCTGCGAGAGCTTGTTGATGGTGCAGCGTAACTCGGCAGTACCTGCGTTCCTGCATGGTATGCTACCGCGAGACTGCTGCTGTGTTTTACTGCTTTCAAGGACTCAAAACCCACCTTCCTTGGTTCGGAACCGGCATATGGTGACGCTGCTTCGTTTAGCAACGAGGCCAGAAGTGAACCCGACAACGCTACCCCATCGAGGCTATACATCTCTTCCTCTGTATCCCGTCCCTGCGACAGCCTTGGCGACGAGCAAAGTGGTGACACCACTTGACATGCTGTTGTTTGCAGTGTGGAGCTCGCAGTGTGGGCAAACTGGGGGGCACGCCAAACACAACCTGGTATGCTGTACAAGAAGATTTTGCTGTCCGGGGCCCCTTCTCCCGCTCGCTTGAGCGCTCCCCAGTCCCCCCAAACACGTGCGCGATGATGAAGTTCCGTTGCGCGGTCGACACCTGCCCACACAACCTCCAGTCAAAAATGATGGCTGGACTCGAGGCAGAGGTGGATGATCTGGAGGTGGGTCTCGTGCTACTGAAAAACAGCAGTTCTGTCTTGAAAGCGGATGATTCGCTACTGACCATCATTTTGGCCGCCGTCTGAAAAATCTCATGGCTTGCAGCTCCCTCGGTGTGTATGCATATGACGCACCATGCCCTCTTCCCCCTAGAAAGTAGCGTAGGCTGCGAGATACGCAGCTTCAAGTTATGTTGGTCTTGGCAGTCTCCTGCAGAATCAAGACGGTTATCGTCAGTCTTTGGTCTGCTTATTGGGTGCAGCCTATGTACAGCAGCCCTTTGCAGCCTATGTACTTCATCAAGACTCGACAATAACAACGACGCAGGAGGATGCGCCCCCTGCCCAAGAAGTAGAGGACGGTGAAGAGGATGCCGAGGAGGACGTCGAGGAGGGGGCGGGTGCAGCAGCCGATAAGGAAGGAGCTAGCAGCAGCAAGAAGAAGAAGAAGAAGAAGAAGAAGAAGAAGTCAGCTTCTGTAGCAGGCGAAGCACCTGCAGCAGCGGCGACAGGTGCGGGCAATAAGTACAGCTGCAGAGCCATTTGCAGATTTCCACCGATACATCGCATAACAAATGTGTTTTGTCATGATTTGCTTGTGGGTCTTTTGCTTTTCGACGATACGCCATTCTTGACAGAACGGTGTCATGAGTCTGCAGCGAAAAAATCCGTCGAGGAGTCTACCCACCATGTCGTTACAGGGTGGGGCCTAAGGCAGCAACGTCGATATTTAGTGTTGCTTGCATTTGGCTTTTTGGGGGGGTCTGAAGCATTCTTACATGGGTAGTGTGAGGAGTGCGCTCATCGATCCCCAAAATGAACAGGAAGACCCAAGAAAACACGGAACGATCTAGAAAATACGTCCAAATTTCTGCTTGTCGTGATGTCATCCCAATAAAACGCTTCCTGTCGCTAAAACACGTCCAGCTCGACAGGTAAAACCGGTTGACCTAGGTTTGCTCACCGTATCGTAAAGTAGCGGAACAAGCAAAGGGCAGCACCCGACTAGAGACGGACACGTTAGGAAGAAAACGGTTTTACGTACTCGCGGTTATCTGGAAACTCTGTAGGCGTCTGTCGGTTACGGGTCAAAACCGGTGGTATTCCGAAAACGAGGTGTTGTGCAACCCGTTTATATCTGGTTATCCGGCGCTGAGAACGTTTTTTTGTGAGAATAGCGCCTCGCCGGTTGTTGCTTTTTTTCTTTTTCCTTTCGGTACCCATCCCTACTCGTGACATTACGAGACCGGCAGAAGAACGGCTGGGTCCTTGAACAGAGTGAGGAGTCGTTTACTTGATTGATTCGGGTAAAACCGGTCAAACGGCGCTGAAAAAGAAACAATTTTGCAGTACATGATATTTTTCCAAGAACGTCTCCGAGCCGGTTATCGGTTACTTTTTTTCCCGTCCACCGTTCTAGTCTGAAGCTACACTGCGTAGATTTTCATGAGGAAAGTGCTTGCCAGAAGGTAAGAACTTTGTGGTCGGAAGAACATGGACGAAACACGGGTGAATTGTGTGGAGAATGTCGGGAGAGATGGTTGTGGAAGGTTGGACTGGAACAAGCCTAAAAGATGCCGTGCTTTCCGCACGTCTCACGGCGTCTTTTACACCGCATTTCGAATTAACCACGCCACAGGTGAAGCTAAAGGTGACGTCGAGGAAGTAGACGGCGAAGAGGGAGACCCCGACGCGGCTGCCGATGCGGGGGAGACCGGTGCAGGAGCAGCAAAGAAGAGGAAGAAGAAAAAGAAGAAGAAAGGGAGCGCGGGAGTGCCGACTTGTCCGGGGGGCACCGGGAGCAAGGTCGCGCCCGCGAGGGGTGTGACTGGGTTCACGGACAGCTATGTCAGGTGCGCCGGAGATGTACGCGCGGTTGGGCCGATTGTAGCGCCCCCTACGGTGCGCCGTATTTGCAGCAGCTAGGCTACATCGAGTTTGCCACCCGACTCGATAAAGTTGCTCTCTTAGTGAGCGGGGCATACTGTTGCAGCGACTAATTCGTATGCGTACATCCTTTTTCCCTGTGTGTGCAATGTGCAGTTGTGTTCACTCTGGGCTTCGTTAACAACATGCTACCTACACTTGAAATGGTTTATCCTGCGGAACCAGTCCGAGGGCTGCTTGCACTTCGAGGTAATGTTGCAGTTGGTACAATCACAGGCGCTAATGAAGTTGGCAGCATTCTTGATGACCAAGTACCCCTTCCGTGTACAGCTCTTGGAAATACAACATGAGCCTTGCTTCCCCCTACCTCTATTTTCGGTCCCACTTTGAATTCATAGGCACGGGCAGACGGAGCCACCGACCATTCCTGTTGAAGATCTTTTCGAGGAGGGATCTTTCCCGGAAGGGGAGATTTTGGAACATCCCCGGGACTTCAACTCATTCCGGGTAAGATAGCCGTGCGTTGGGCGACTGATGAAGACCTGTAGGGTGTTAGAGGGGGCTCCTTGTCAACGACAACTTTGTGATGAAGTACGAGCTTCCATGCCTGATGGTGTGAGACTCGTGGAGTGCTCCACGTGATAGGTATCTGGTCACGAACAACACCGTCGTCCGAACTCTATTGGTGTTTCGCGATGGCAGATAACGAGCGAGGAGAAGCGAGCCGAGGAGCGTCTCCAGTACGCGGGGCTGTATGACAAGGCGCGCAAGGCGGCCGAGGTGCACAGGCAAGTCAGGCGCCACGCGCAGAGCTACATCAAGCCGGGGATCAAGCTCATCGACATGTGCACCATGCTCGAGGAGAAGGTACAGTGATAGAGATTGGGTTGGGCAAGGGTTCTTCTTGCGTGTGCCTGGGTGTGCCGCGCCAAACACTATCGTAGAAGACATCTGGTAGTCACGCCCTTGGTGGAAATACTGTTATGTTCTAGCCGTGAGGTGCTGCACCTGTTGCCCAGCTCGTGGACGTGTGCAACGCCAACGTCCGAATACCGGGGGCGAGCGCGTGTACGGGCAGTGAGGTGAAGAGGATGCTGGAAAGAGTGGCGGCTGAAACGGTATGTCCCCGTGTTCCGTTTTTGTGCTTTGCCGCAGAACCGGGAGCTGGTCCGAGAGAACGGGCTCGATGCGGGCATCGCCTTCCCGACGGGCTGCTCGCTCAACCACGTCGCGGCGCACTACACCCCAAACAACGGCGACGATACCGTACTCAAGGTGTGTGCGCAGAGCAGGTTCCCGGGCGGTCCGTTAACGCTCGTTTGGCTTGGACGATGCCCCGTGTAGCGTTGCTCGTTGGCTCGAGATAGTCGCGGGCATGTGTTTTGCGGCGCCGTTTGGGTCGCCGCTTTGGCGAGAGCACTGTGCGTTTTTGTTGCTGCGAACCCGTGGAGCAATAAGCATTTACGCTCGACATGCAGTGGCGCCGGAAACGTTATGTCCGCTCGATTGGTCACTCCACTGTTGTATTCACAAAATATCATTCACAATTGGTGCCGCGTCTACTCTTGCTCACGCGTACGTGTTCATGTGGTACGGTCAGCACGGGGACGTGATGAAGGTGGACTTCGGCACGCAGGTAGAGGGCCGCATCATCGACTGTGCTTGGACTGTAAGCTTCGACCCCCAGTTCGACCCCCTCCTTGAGGCCGCCCGGGAAGCCACAAACACCGGCATCAGGAACGCTGGCATCGACGTGCCTCTCAACGAGGTAAGGTATCCTTGTATCACTCTCCGAGGTGAAAGTTAGTGCCACGACGTAGGGGGGGGGAGTAGCATTCGCATTGAGCATGCGTCGAGGTTTTGGTTGCCTCTCTGTGGCACGATGGAGGTACCCTGCTTGCCACCGCCTGGAACTCGTGTTGTTTTCCTAAGGCAATGTTGTCCACTATCTCCGAGTCGTGGTCTTGTGCGTTGTTGAGGCTTCGGTGAAGTGTCAATCCCTCATCGTTCTTCTACAAGAACGTGTCGATATATTGCCCAGCTGACTACCGTGTCGCTACAGTAGCCATCCAAACAGCGCAGAATAATTCAAGACCGGCTTACAGGTCACCACGCTTGCGTGGCCAAGGGTAGCATCCGCGGCTTGCTGATACTTCTGTATTGTCGTAGAACTTGCTCCATATGACTCTTGTCTTTCACTGTTTCTGTTCGTTGCGTCTCACGCAAGGTCGGAGCGGCCATCCAGGAAGTAATGGAGAGCTACGAGGTAGAGATCAACGGCACCACCTACCCGGTCAAGAGCGTGCGCAACCTCAACGGCCACAGCATCGGTCCGTACGAGATCCACGCCGGGAAGAATGTTCCTATCGTCAAGGGCGGCGACGCCACGCGCATGGAGGAGGGGGAGTTCTTCGCCATTGAGACTTTCGGGAGCACAGGGCGCGGTCACGTTGTGGAGGTGTGTTGCGTGCGCGAGGGGTGTGCTTGCGATAGTCGAGCGTGGCCAGATTCATACGAACGCGTTTGAAAACCGAGGAACGTTAAGCGTTGGGGCCGACTTGTTATTGGACGAGGCTCATGTTGTACTAGTTCGAAGTGCAAGCGACCATTGAGTCCTGGAGGGCTTTTCCTTGGGTGTGGAACAGGGATCGCAGCCAAGCGGAGGAAAGGGGCAAGACATGCCCTGCCTCGTATGCGTGTGTAGGGAGCTTCGCGTGTCGCAACCCACTTTGTAGCGCGTTCCTGAGCCGTTTCCGTTTACGATGGTATTCTCCCGAGAGCATTTTGGCGGCAATTTGCAGCAAGAAATGGCTGGGTGTGTGAGCCAAGATGATAAATGAGAGTATATCTGTATTTGTTCCGTTCTTCGGGTTCTCTGTGGTTCAGAGCTCGTGACCGACAACACTCGTCTATTTGCCTTCGAAGCAAAGATGTGTTCAAGGGAAGGGGCTCCAACTAGAGATCAGGAAGGTTTTTTATTCGAAGACAGGAACACAAAGACGACGAGAGCTTCAAGCTTGACACTCTGCCTCCCGCGTTGGCTGCCGTTCGCTGTCCCCATGCTAACATGCTGATGGCCGTCCGTGGGGAGCAGGACCTGGAGTGCTCCCACTACATGAAGGACTTCAACGCACCCCGGGTACCTCTGCGCCTGCCCAAGGCGAGGCAGCTCTTGTCGCACATCAACAAGACCTTCGGCACGCTCGCCTTCTGCCGGCGCTGGCTGGAGAGGCCCGACGGAGGGTCGACGACGATCAACGGCGTTTCTGGAAAGCAGGTACGAACGGGTGGATTGTACCTCCCAGGGGGGGGAGAGGGGGTTCGATGGTGGTTAGTTGTTTTGTTGTTTTGGTTTCGTTTGCGGATCGATGGGAGCATTGTTGCAACCCGGGCGTCTATTGTATGATGGCGGGGGGCAGTTCACTCGCAAAGCTTAAGCTCTGCAAGCAGAGTAACAGAAGGAGGCGGACGGTGGGCAGACGGCGCCGCGCTAACATGTGCGCTCGGAGTCGCAAACTAATGTACGTGGTTGTGATTAAGAGGCTACTGCCTACCATTGTTTGTTGTGGTTCCTCAAGGGTATCATGTCAAGGTTCATCATCAAACCCTAAATAAGTCGCCTCGTTCGTTTTTTGCTGGTCCTCCCCGACAGGAAAAGTACGTGGGTGCGCTCAAGCAACTCTGTGACTCGGGGCTTGTGAACGCTTACCCGCCGTTGTGCGACGTTCGGGGCTCGTACGTCGCCCAGTATGAACACACCATCCTCATGCGACCCACATGCGTGGAGGTGTTGTCTCGCGGCGACGACTTCTAGCGTGGTTGCGTACTGGTGAAAATGGCGTTGTCTTCATCCAGACGACATGGTGGGACGCCATGTAGTCGACGGACGGCGAAGGATGCTAGTGTCCCGATGTAGTCCGATTGTGCTGTTATATTTGTTTGAAAGACGTTTGAGTGTGCGCTTTATCAGCTGCGCAACCCAGCGTTTGAGCTTCCAAGGAGCATGGGCTCGAAGCAGAAGTTCATTCGTCCTTTCCCTAATTTCATTTTCTGGTGATGTCGGGCAGCATACTCTTCAGGATTTTGATGGGGGAGTATTCGTTGAGGACTGCTAAGCGCCACGACACCCGCCGCATCCGTATTGGTCAACTTGGGTCGTCATAGAATAAAAGTTGGACTGCCATCGTTCGTCGTCAGGATTGTCGCAGAAGCGAGCGCGTGAACAGCGTGTGGTGTTTCCCTGCGTCTTGCTGCCCCCACTTCAGCGGGTACGTCTCACGCTGGAGCGGTAGGTGTGTAGGTGGATCGTGTGCGTTCCAATCCTTGGACGCCAAACGATTGGAATGAATAGACGGAACATGGTTAATAGATGATTTCCTGTGAATCGTTCCTGTCCCCGACTGTAAACAGGTGTGTATCCCCCGCAGTATATTTAAGCAGTGGTGCACAGGTTTTGACTGCGCTAAGGTTCTTATTTTGTTTTCCGACGCGATTGTGGGATACGCATGAGGCGTCCGGCAGGTGCAGAGGCCCCAATAACACAGGAAACCCGGCAGTCAAGAACACGAGGGAACGCGCAACATGCGCACAAGAATAGCACACATCCCGGCGCCTCACCCTCCCCTTGACGTCTTCGGCATGTTGCAGTTTTGGTCCGATCGCTGATCGAAACAAAACCAGTACCGAGGACGCCGATGTCTTCAAATCAAGCATACGGGACTCTAAATGCTGGCCCTGGGGGGAAACATGTGTGCAAATCGCTCACAGCAGATGTAGCAAGATGGGATGAATTCCGTCCCACCCCCCGAAATCAAAACCTGTTGTTAAAGCCCACGTTCCGCGCCTCGAATCTCAAGCGGGACTATGCGCAAGCAAGGCGCAAGTCACGCAACAGGATTTCTGCTTCGAGCCCATGCTCCTTGGAAGCCCAAACGCTGGGTTGCGCAACTGACAAAACGCACACTCTTCCTAACAAAACAGCACAATCGGACTTTATGTCGGGACACCTCCAGCAGTGTATCCTTCGCCGTCGGTCGACTACATGGCGTCCCACCATGTCGTCTGGACGAAGACAACACCACTTTCCCCGGTACGCAACCACGCTAGAAGTCGTCGCCGCGAGACAACACCTCCACGCATGTGGGTCGCATGAGGATGGTGTGTTCATACTGGGCGACGTACGAGCCCCGAACGTCGCACAACGGCGGTAAAGCGTTCACAAGCCCCGAGTCACAGAGTTGCTTGAGCGCACCCACGTACTTTTCCTGTCGGGGAGGACCAACCGAATACGGACGTGGGGACATATGTTTGGGATTCATTGAACTTTGAGGAACCTCAACACACGACGCACTCCACATCACAGTACTATGATGTGCGCGTTCCAGCGCACGCTCATCTTGGCGCCGTCTGCCCGCCGTCAGCGTTCTTGTGTCACTTCTCTCTGTACTCTGGCTGGAAGTTAATTCCCTCACAATCCCAACGCAATAATCTATGTACAGTAGACTCCTACAGTATGCTGCAATACCCACATCGATCCGAAAACGAAACCAAAACACCTAACGACTATCGACCCCCCCCCCCCCGTAGGAGGTACGTTTCCGCCTCTCGCACCTGCTTTCCAGAAACACCGTTGATCGTCGCCGACCCGCCGTCAGGCCTCTCCAGCCAGCGCCGGCAAAAAGCGAGTGTGCCGAAGGTCTTACTGATGTGCGACAAGAGCTGCCTTGCCTTGGGCAGGCGCAAGGGTACCCGGGGTGCGTTGATGTCCTTCATGTAGTGGGAGCACTCCAAGTCCTGCTCCAGATGGATAGCCATCAAGGTGCAAACACGGGCGGGGCGAGCGGCAGCCAACGCAGGACCCAGGGTGTCAAGCTTGAACCTCTCGCCGTCGTTGTGTGGTTCCTGTCTTCGAATCGCTTATCTTCCTGATCTCTACTTGGAGCTCCCTCCCTTAAACACATATTCCCTTTGAAGGCAAACAGACGAATGAATATTGGCGGCCACGAGCTCTGAACCATAGAGAATCCGAAGAAGAACGAATGGTGTAAGAGATTCTCGTTTCGAGTCTCATCATCTTGGCTCATACACTGCACACACCCTATCATGCAGTTCTCGTATAACAATTCACCGCCACAAAATATTTTAGAAATACCATCGTAAATGGATCAGGAACGTGCAAGGCAGCGGGCTTCAACACGCGAAGCTCCGTACACACGCATACGGTGCAGGAAATGTATTGCCACTTTCCTCCGCTTGAGGCTGCGATCCGTGTTCCACACCCAAGGTAGCCTTCCGGATCGAGTAAACAAGTGAAAACAGGCGCGGTTTCGCAGCTGACATGTTCTTGCTTGCCAGACTGGAATCCGGCGCGTCTCTCGAGGTTCGCACGCGGTCCCGATGATACCCACGCGGGCAGCAACATACGTCCTCAAGTCGAGAACCTACGTCATGAGATTTCTAAACCTGCCTGTGTCCAAAAGTGGTGGAGAGTTGCCTTCTCTGCCATCAACCTGTCTACACTGCAACTTCTATCTTCAGCTGTAGTCCTTACAAGCCCTGCCCATTATATGTCCGCCCCAACACCCTCACGTTCCTCGACTTTCAAACGCGTTGGTATGAATCCGGCCAACGCTTGTCTATCGCAGGCACATGACAGCACCCCGCGCGCGTAACACACCTCCACAACGTGACCGCGCCCGGTGCTCCCGAAAGTCTCAATGGCGAAGAACTCCCCCTCCTCCATGCGGGTGGAGTCGCCGCCCTTGACGATAGGAACACTTTTCCCGGCGTGGATGTCGTAAGGGCCGATGTTGTGGCCAGTGAGGTTGCGCATGCTCTTGACGGGGTAGGTGGTGCCGTTGATCTCTACCTCGTAGCTCTCCATTACTTCCTGGATGGCCGCTCCGACCTTGCCAAAGAAGAGAAACAGAATGACGAGAGTCATATGGAGAGAGGGCTATCAGAGCCAGAACACCGCAGATGACATTTTTTGGCCACGCAAGCGTGGTGCCCTTTTAGCCCCTGTTGACTCATCCTGCATTGCTTGGTTGGCAGCCGCTCCGACACGGTAGTCAGCTCGGCAAAAATTTCGACACGTGCTTGCTGCCTGCACAACGATCACGGTTTAGCACTTCACCGAAGACTCAAAACGCACAAGACCACGACTCGCAGATAGTGGACAACATTGCCTTAGGAAAACAACAACACGAGGCCCAGAAAATGTCCAGCCATGTACCTCCACGGTGCCACACAGGGTCGACCAAAATCTCGACCTATGCTCAACGCGAATGTTTCTTTCCCCCCCTAAGCTGTGGCAACAACTTTGAGCTCGCAACGGGATCAAGGATATCTTACCTCGTTGAGAGGCACGTCGATGCCAGCGTTCCTGATGCCGGCGTTTGTGGCTTCCCGGGCGGCCTCAAGGAGAGGGTCGAACTGGGGGTCGAAGCTTACAGTCCAAGCACAGTCGATGATGTGGCCCTCTACCTGCGTGCCGAAGTCCACCTTCATCACGTCCCCGTGCTGACCGTACGTGCGCGTGAGCAAGAGTAGACGTACCACCAAATCGTGAATGTTTGTGTTGTGAATACAGCAGATGGAGTCATTAGTCGAGCGGACATATCGTTTCCGGCGCCACTGCCCGTCGCGCGTAAATGCTTATTGCTCCACGGGATGGCAGCAACAAAAACGCACAGTGCTCTCGCCAAGGCGGCGACCCAAATGGCACTATAAGCGACACGCCCACCACAATCCCTAGCTGATTGCCAGCGTCAACGCTACAGGGGTCATCGTCCAAGCCAAACGAGCGTTAACGGACCGCCCGGGAACCTGCTCTGCGCACACACCTTGAGTACGGTATCGTCGCCGTTGTTTGGGGTGTAGTGCGCCGCGACGTGGTTGAGCGAGCAGCCCGTCGGGAAGGCGATGCCCGCATCGAGCCCGTTCTCTCGGACCAGCTCCCGGTTCTGCGGCAAAGCACAAAAACGGTACACGGGGACATACCGTTTCAACCGTCACTCTTTCCAGCATCCTCTTCACCTCACTGCTCGTACATGCGCTCGCCCCCGGTATTCGGACGTTGGCGTTGCACACGTCCACGAGTTAGGGCAACAGGTGCAGCACCTCACGGCTAGAACATAACAGTATTTCCACGAAGGGCGTGACTACCAGATGCCTTCTACCATAGTGTTTAGCGCGGCACACCCAGGCACACGCAAGAAGAACCCTTGCCCAACCCAATCTCTATCACTGTACCTTCTCCTCGAGCGTGGTGCACATGTCGATGAGCTTGATCCCCGGCTTGATGTAGCTCTGCGCATGGCGCCTGACCTGCCTGTGCACCTCGGCCGCCTTGCGCGCCTTGTCATACAGCCCCGCGTACTGAAGACGCTCCTCGGCTCGCTTCTCCTCGCTCGTTATCTGCCATCGCGAAACACCAATAGAGTTCGGACGACGGTGTTGTTCGTGGCCAGATACCTATCACGTGGAGCACTCCACGAGTCTCACACCGTCAGGCATGGAAGCTCCTACATCACAAAGCCGTCGTTGGCAAGGAGCCCCCTCCAACACCCTGCCCCTTTTCATCAGTCGCCCCGCGCGCGGCTATCTTACCCGGAATGAGTTGAAGTCCCGGGGATGCTCCAAAATCTCCCCCTCCGGGAAAGATCCCTCCTCGAAAAGATCTTCAACAGGAATGGTCGGTGGCTCCGTCTGCCCGTGCCTATGAATTCAAAGTGCGCCCGAAAATAGAGGTAGAGAGGGGCAAGGCAAATGCATTTCCAAAAAACACGGGACGGGTGGAATATTATGATCAATACTGCTACATAACTGGACTGACACCGGCAAACTCACAAACTGCAACATTACCTCGAAGTGCAAGCAGTTCATAGTACTTTGCGATTTCCTTTCAAGTGCTGGTGATATATCTTGTGCACATAGCCCGGGGTGAACAGCACTGCACATTGCATCCACAAAGAAATAGGACGTCATATAAAAATAGTCGGTGCCACAGTCGACCCCACTCACTAAGAGAGCAGCTTTATCGAGTAGGGTGGTAAACTTGATGTAGCCTAGCTGCTGCAAATACGGCGCACCGTAGGGGGCGCTACATCGGCCAAACCGCGCGTACATCTCCGGCGCACCTGACATAGCTGTCCGTGAAGCCAGTCACACCCCTCGCGGGCGCGACCTTGCTCCCGGTGCCCCCCGGACAAGTCGACACTCCCGCGCTCCCTTTCTTCTTCTTTTTCTTCTTCCTCTTCTTTGCTGCTCCTGCACCGGTCTCCCCCGCATCGGCAGCCGCGTCGGGGTCTCCCTCTTCGCCGTCTACTCCCTCGACGTCACCTTTAGCTTCACCTGTGGCGTGGTAAATTCGAAATACGGTGTAAAAGACGCCGTGAGACGTGCGGAAAGCACGGCATCTCTTAGGCTTGTTCCAGTCCAACCTTCCAAAACCACCTCTTCTATGGCATAAAAAATTAGGCTCACAGAATTCCATCCGAATCCTTCCATGGTCGTACCGCACAACGTTCCTGCATTATGTTCTACAATTTCCTCATGAACGTCTACGCCAATGAACGCGAAGAATTTCCGCATGAAAATCTACGAGGTGTAGGTATAGCTGCTTGGGAACGTTCACAGCAAGTCAGAGACGCCAGGTGGGATGGGCAGCAGTTTCTTCTGGACGTATGTAATCTCCGTACAGGCTAAACATATAGGAGGGATCCACGCAATGGGAGAGTAGGCGGTTCACGTTTGACCACAACGAGCCCAGTGAACATGCATATATATGTCTCGGACGGTAAGGCCGGCATCAAGACAACGGGGATCCCTCCTGTTGACTGACATAGATGGCACATCTGTGGGCGTTGGTTCTACGTGTCTTAGGCTACGCGTAGCACAGAAGGCTGAATGTCAGGCCCGGGGTGCGTTTCGACGAAGAGTTTGCAATATATTTTCAAAGACAAATAATCACTTGAATTTCTCTGAGTACCGCCGCATCTGCTGTGAAGGTCAATGCCTAAAGGAGTGAAATTTGTCAGACCCGTGTCCATGAAGCCCTGAGTGTTTACCAATCGGTACCGTTTTGGCCTTGGATCGTCACATTGGTTTAGCAAAACGTTCACATCCAATCCTTCGACAGTGTCGTGTTGCTGAAGTTCTGAAAATGCGAGGTTTTGGCATCAGGTGCAAATCGGTTCCCTCGACGAGGAAGCCACGCCGAAGCCCGCCATGGGCTCGATAGTCTACCTGTAGTAGGTTAACGAGAGGCGCATGGCGGGAGGTAGTTCGGATCAATGAGAAGAGTGGATTACTGGAGAAAAGGCAAGCGATTTGAAGGGGGTGGGAGAGAGTGAATATGCAGATTGAAACTGCGAGTACATTCCTTCGGAAAGAATGTCTCGGGCGAAGTTATTTTGTTACGAAACTCAAGGAGTGAGCAGCGCAAGAAGGGGAGTGACTTGTGCGAGGACATGCACAAGAATGAAGGAGTGAAACGTTCTGTCTCGAAGGGTTTGCGACTCGGTTTCATGGCAGATCTCACTTCACACTCTTACATTTCGAATTGTACCGTTCACACCTAGGCCCGCGTTCCGCCCTTTCACAAGTAGAGAGTGAGAATGGGGTTGGAATCCTGGTGACCTCACACAACGGCTCATACAGCGCCCATACACTACAGTTGCTCAATTACATCCCTTCGGCTAGGCTGTCTAAATATTTCCCTCCCGACGCTGTGCTGCTTCGTGGCGTGCCCAAGAAGGTGTGAGAGATGTGCGCCACCTCTCCAAACTGCATTTGAAGTAATGTAGTGATATGGCCTGTTTTGGGTCGAAGGGAGCAACACATCATTATCACGGCACCGCGCAGCAGTAGAGCGGCAGGGCCTCCGGCAGGCTATTTCTTTCGGATGGCCATACAGATGATGCTGGACCTCAGCGCCGCTGCCGCTGTATGATTGTTAAGCTCGTCTACCTTTCGACAGGTGGTGGTCGAAGGAGGGGATCACAGCTGGAAAAATGAGCGGGAAGACTTGAGAAAATCGGAGGCAACACACCCAGATTTTGACACTCTACCCTGCTCCTGGCGCTGAGTCGTTGAAAGTTTGCTTTCCTTTGTGTCGGGTACTGCTCTTTGCGCTTATACCGCTGCTCTATGGTGAGCAAAGCAAAGAAGTCAGCACGTCGTATGTTGAGCAAAGCGCGAACGCATGTACTTCGAAGTACAGCAGTTGTAGTAGCGAAACGTTTTCGCAATGTGTTCTTGGACCGTTCCTTGTTTCTTCGAGTTCTTCCTGGTTGTTTTGGAGCTTGTACCTGTCGGCGATGGTGCCGGTGCTTGGCTTGCTGCGGAAGCTGTCTTGTCTTCTTCTTCTTCTTGTTCTTCTTGTGTTTCTTCTTGCCGCTGCTGCTTCTGGCTCCTGCCTTGTAGGCTGCTTGCTGTGTCCGCTCCCTCCTCGGCATCCTCTTCGCCATCGTCTGCTTCTTCGCCAGGGGGGGCATCCACCTGCGTCGTAGTGTTTGTTGGGTCCTACCGCTTTAGTGAAAGTGCGGCAGCATACATAGATATCCTGCCACGGGCTACATGGGCTGCGCCCATTACGCAGCCAGCCCTAGAGTAACGAGAACCGTCTTGTCTCTGCACAAGGCTTTCAAGATCAACGTAGAAATACACTTGAAGCTGTGTGCTCGTATCCTACGCTACAGAGTGCTTTTGTAGGGGGAGAGGTCAATACAAAATCACCGAGGGAGTGCAAGCCATGAGTTTTGCGGACGGCCTGGTCCGTAGCGGATCATCCTCTATAAAGCCAGCATTGACAGCTCTACAGCTGTTTTTCAGTACCACGCAACCCACCTTCAGATTATCCACCTCTCCCACGGGTCCAGCCATCTTCTTGCTTGACTCTAATATTATGATGTTTGTGCGGCTGTCGTGCGTGCAACGCGAAGAGGGCTGGTGAAGGGGCCCCGGAGAGAAATTTCTTTCTGTACCGTGATCCGCGCATCAACCATTTGTGGTCTTCAAGCAAACATGAAAACTGACCTCTTTGTTGCCTTCGCTAGCGCGCACGTCGCTGGTGAGGTGTTGGGTCTGCCGTTGTTTGTTTCTCTCGGCGCTTGTCATCTTGTGTTGCAGAGCTCTTGCAGCCCGTTGTACTCTGCTTTTGACACACCGCACAACACAAACTGCAGAGCAGAGCTCGTTGAGAGATCTGCTCAGATTGAGAGATGTGTCATTTCGTCAAATCGAGTATCTTTCGACTTGGTGCCACGATATTCCCCTACAAAATGGCTGGGGTGCCATAATGTACCTAATGTGTCTGATCACAGAGAACAGCAGTTAAACGTTCACCCCGTTCACCCCTGGTGATGATGCAACGGAAAATACTACTCCCTTGTCCAGGCTAGCAATCAGGTCCCTCCACGACACCGTCTCCCTGTCCTTTCGGTCGTGTTGAGGATGTCGTAAGATGGTCCGATCACCAGTGACTGTGTGTGTCGTTCCCTTTCACCGAACACCACCAGGCACAGTATATCGGGCACTGCGCATGCACGGCTGGTCACAGTAGTAGCCGCAGTACCGTACTCGGCGATGGATTATCGCGGCCGACAGCAGCGAGAGGCATGGTTCGCTGCTGAGGCAAGTCCCCCTCCCTCCACAATGGTCGAGGCGACACATATTTGCGGCGATAATTTCCCGGTTTGTCGAACCTATGCGTCGAAAGCTGAAGCTACACAAAATCCTATGAGGAGCCTGAACATCAGGACAATGAGTTCATTGCGTGCGCTCTTTCGCAACGACAAGGACACACCCTGTTACAGGCCACGTCGCTGGGACAGGAACGCTACACAGGAAACAATCTATTAGCTGTTTCGCGTCCAAGATAGCAACACCATCCACCCATCCACCTCGCTCGCGCGTGAGGCGTAGCCGCTGGGGCGCGGAGAGGCAGGGCAGGGAAAAACCACACTCTGTTCGCGCGCTCGTTTCAATGACAATCCTGACGACGAACGATGGAGTCCCATCTTTGTTCTATGACCATCCCGACGACGAACGAGGTATCTATTCCACATTCGTGTCGTACAACCATACTCGTGCTCGCAGGCTATCCCGTTACCAAGAGGGATACGTACCGTCACTCGATCTCCCTGCTGCGAGCACAACAGCGTGATGTTTCCGAACGAGGACAGGAATCACACGAAGGGCTGCAAACGGGCCTGCATCACGTCGATGGGGGGGCGTCCTTTCCCCGCTCAAGCGTCAGGATTTTTGTAGCCTTCCCAGCGGAGCAAGATATTTCGCGCTTCCTCAAAGTCCATCCACACCGCTGGTCGCTGGCCCCTCCTGGCAGTGAGAAGCTGCCTCGTCCACCCGTCCCCGGTGGCAGCGTTGGCGCTGTCGCTGCAACGGGTACGGCCGTCCTTTCCCCGACCTCGGCCCGCTGCCCCCGCACAATCATCCTGCGGAGCACCCGCGCGACCGGTGCTTCCTGTCGTGGCAGTTGCAGTCCCCGCGGCGGCGTGTGAATTTCCTGTAGAGGTCACGTTGTCGCTGCCGGAAGAGACCGCAGAGGTGGCATTGAGGGTTGTCCGACTACGGCTGGTGCCGTTCGGCTTGAGCTGTGCCCCGCAAGCCGACGACGTTGGCGGCGGATGTCGGTCGCCAGAAGAAGCAGTAGTAGTAGCAGCAGCGTTTGTCGGATCGGACGTGCTGGGGGCACGCCATTCCCGCAAGGCAAAGATTAGGGCGTAGTGGTTGGTGAGGTGGAAGATGAGGACCTGGTGAGCGCGAACCGTGACGAGGGAAGAGGTCCGCGAAAGAGTGTGAAAAAGCTCAAAACGAGTTTACGTGCTTGAAAGAGACAGAGAGAGGCGGAGAGACTTATTACCATTGGGTACAAGTCCCGAACATTAAACGCCCTGCTTCTCTCCATGTTAATCGCACTAAAAACGAGAGACTAACAATATTTTGCCTTCAGCCAAGATATGGACAGATGAGTGGGTGAATAAACCTTATTCGTGGCGCTGGGGCCGCTCAATTTGCGAGTATTTCTGTTTCGGCGTACGTCCAGCCTCTCATGCCTGTCTATAACGCATCTCTGCCGGTCAAACGTGCCGAATTTCGTTTCTAGAACGCTACACCTATGGCAGGCGCAAAGGTGTACCTGACGATCGCTCAAAAAGGCCTCCCTTAGCGCCGCCCACTGCTTGGCCTTCTCCTGTTCGTCGTCTCGCGTGGACAGTGGCACGGGAAGCCGACAGGATCGTTGTCTCCCTTTTCCCATGAAAAGCCTCGCCGTTACCTTGTTTGCAAGACCCGCGTAATGTCGCCGCCAATGGCAACGGAGGCGAATTGAATGCAGAATACCGTTGTTTCGTTTCGTTGAACGAGGCTCGGGAAATCAACCATTAAGTCGATCCTTGGATGCTTCCATGGACGCAACCTGCTGCAACGGTAATCTGAAACATTAACTACCAATCGAAACAGCAAAAATCGTCAAAAAGAAAAAGGATCGCATTTGCACAACAACTCGGCACTCTTAGATGCTTGTCGTTGAAGGCATTTTTTATATATTTCGCGCACTCTGCGCACCTCGACGTTTCCAGGCACTTCCCCATCTAGGTAGCGAACGGTGGAAATCACACCCAGGTTCCCGATGGCTCCGGTCGACGGCTTGGTCGCGCTCAACTGATAAACCGACAGGCGAAAAAGTTCGCAGATATCGAAACTGGGACACAACTACATCATATCAAATCAGAGGTACTTTGTTGACGCTCAAGTCCGCTTCGTAGGTATGCAATAAATAAACAAAGACGGCTGCGAGGTGGACTATAACTTCTGGTGATAGAGCAACGTGTAGTCCGGGCGCTTTGTGTCTATATACTCCATCACAAACCTACCTTGTTCAGTCCCCCTAAGCGCTTCAAGAGCGTGCATAGATCACGTTTCCACCGCCACTTCGTCCGTTCTCCGTGAGTCGCCCCGGCGCTTGCCCTTGTCCCTCTCCGGTAGCCTCTAATGTCCTTCTTGCTGCTTCTGCGGCGTTGCTGACGCGCCGAAGATGCGGGTTTCTCCCTGACCGTGCTACTAAAGCTGATGCTAGGAGTAACTCCCTGGCCAATTTTCTCTTCCTGCTCCTCCTCCTGCTCCTCCTCTTCCTCCTCCTCTTGTCTGTCCTCCTCGTCTTCATCCTCGTCACCCTCCTGCTCGTCTTCCTGTTCTTCTCCGCCCACGTCCTTCTCGCCGCCCTCCCAGCATCTTCGAACCGCGCCGAGGCCTTGCCCAGTCTCTCCTTCAGCGACACAGCTCGCTAACATCAGGTCGTCGGCGCTCACAGGACGCCTCAGCGCGGTTCCCGGTCTACACTCAGAAGCGGTGCTAGCTCCTCCACCGCCGCTTCTGGGACGCCCGGTTGACGGCCTTCGAGGAAAGTTATGGTTTCCGGGCGTGGTGGTCATCTTCGTTGTCCCCGGAGAAGGAGAACTGCTAGTTCTTCCGAGAATCCCGCTGTCGTCCGCGTCCCCGTGTCCATTCTGCGGATGTTTCCTCGCCGCACCGTCTGTCGTTCGGATTTGACTAGCACTGCCGACCTCCTCGCCACCCACCGTGGCAGCCTGCGTCGCACAGCTCGTAGCGCCTTCCACCGATACTTTGGGGCCCAGCCCTCCGGCGGTGCTACTGCTAGCGGCCGCTGCGGCCGAGCCCGCCAAGATCGCCGCTGCCACAGCTTCCGCTGCCTCGGCAGCGGCCGCCGCTGCAGCGAGTTCCGCGGCTTCCTTCCTCTCGTCCTCGTACAGCTCCCACAGGAGATCGAATGTCGAAGAATGTCCTACTCTTTCGCGCTCTCGCGAGGTGACGATTCGCGTCAGGCGCAGGAGATGGGGGCCGTTCGCGACGGCGGCCCTCGGGCCCCTGCCACCGAGGTGCTTACCCTCGAGCGCTAGCTCGGCATCAAGGACTTGGAGGAGGGGCTCCAAACTTCCTCCCAAGAGCCTCTCGAACCTGTGTACATATACCAGGGCGGATCACGTCCGCCGTTTCGAGATACTTATTTTCTTCCTCTAGCGGAAGCACTCGCGCAACATGTAAGCGAAGGAAAGACTAAAACTAGTTGTTGCTGCGTGGTTGACAAGAGGAGCCCGGTTGGTGCCTCAACAGACACAGCTGCGGGGTTCAAACAAAGTCAGGCTTTCGCCCTTCGTCACCTCAGCGAACTGTGTTTCAGCCGCCTCGGTTGCTATTCTTGAGCGTTAAGAAACGTTTCAAATGCTTCTTTCGCGCCTTTGGAGTTTGTACAAACGGAAGAAGAGCATGCCTGTTCCAGATTGTTGTGCGGCGTGGTACGGTGTGCACCCGCAGAAAAGAGTAAGATACCTGGCAATCATGGAAGTGACTTGCCCCTGCACCACGGCGCGCATGGCCCGCAGCACGGACTCACTATTGAGCGCCCCGTGCGATCCCCGCGGCAAGCCACCGAGGGCGTTCCAAGCGCCGGCCACGGAGGCGGCGGCGCAACACGGGGACCCTTGCTTCACCCATCCCGTTAACAGGGCTCTCGAGTAGCTGACGCTGAAGCGCTCCACGTCCAGGGGCAAGGCTCCGGAGGGGAGGAGGAGAGTGTTGAGGTCGGAAACATCTTCCGGTTCTTCGGTGTCGGCTTCCACTCTCTCTCCGTACGCGTTGACGTCGACAGCCGTGGCGGCAGAGCCACCGGTGGCGGCGGCGGTTGTGTTGGGTAGCGGTGCGCGAGGAGTATCCCAGCCGCTGTTGGCGGTGTTTTGAGGTCGTTTTCCTCGCCGGGTAACGTCTGTTCGGTCCTTCCTGTCGCTTCCACTTCCGGTACCTTCATCTCGGCCAATGTACTCCGCAACCCAAGCGCGGGGGTTGTCGGGTCTTTCGATTACCATGGCCTGCCCAAGTAAGCACGACAGGTTGAAGACGCGGGACTCGTTAACGACGATGGGTGCCACAAACTTTACCATGTACACCCAGCGACGTGGCCTGTGTCATTGTGTGTCCTTGTTGTTGTGAACGAGCGCACGCAATGAACTCGCGGCCCTGCTCCTGAAAGGTATAGAATATGTAGCGTGCGACGTATGGGTTCGACAAACCGGGATCATGTGTCACCTCGACCATTTTGGAGAGGAAGGGGCTTGCCTCCGTCGCGAACCATGCCTCTCGCTGTTGTCGGCCACCACAATCCATCGCTGCGTGCGGTACTGCCGCTACTGCTGTGGCCACCCGTGCGTGCGCAGTGTCCGATAGACTCCACCTGGTGATATTCGGCGAAAGACAACGACACACAGACACGAGTCGCCCTGATAATCAGACCATCCACAGCGACATCCTCCACACGACCGAAGAGAAGACGGTGTAGTGCAGGGACCTGATTGGTAACAAGGACACAATTTTTTCCGCTGCATCAACAGCAAGGGATGAACGGGGCGAACGAGTAACTGCCGTTCTCTAACCGCTGGTGATCAGACTCACCAGAGGTTCGAGGGGATTATCCTGGCACAGGTCGAAAGATATGTACAGTAGTCTCACCTACACGATTTCACGAAATCACAAATGTCTCACAGCTCTACAAATATTTCAAAGCAGAGTACAACGGGCAGCAAGAACTGCAACCTAAAATGACAAGCGTGCAGAGGTAACAAACAACGGCAGCAACAACACCAGCACCAGCGACATGAGCGCTGTTAATAATACCGCAGGCAGAACAGTCATTTTTAGCTTTTTTTTTTTCTTCATATGCATGCGACCAACGAATCCAAATCTATCTTTCGAAAAGAGTCTAAGATAGATTAGCAACGAATCCAAAGCGTCAGCGGAGGCTACCTGTTGGTCCACGATTTCCCGAGGAGTACACAGTACACAGCGATGTCTCCCCTGGGTATAACGGGTCAAGTTTTCATGTTTTTCTCTGCACCAAACTCAAATGGTGATGTGGACACAACATCTACAGCTGTACAGCGTAAATAGTACATTATCCCACGGCTGGGGCCACTTTTTGCAGCTCTTGCCACCCACACACCTTTAGAGGCCTTCCTACAGCAGCATAGCGTACACTCTGGTCCCTCCTGTTCCCGCGGCATGTGTGTACTCTCGAAGGCCACGCACGACAAAAGACAACGCCCGACCACCACGCCCCACAGCCCACAGCAGTTATAAGTGCGCGAAAAGACACCCCCCACCCGGTCACTCCATTCGCGCACCCCCCTCCCGGTTCTCTGATGTCCAGCACCGTATCTCGCAGTGCTCGTGGCGCACACTGCTGCAGTACGGTCTCGACTAGCGTCCCTCACACTCTCAGGGTCAAGTTCAACGTTTGTCAATTGTTGGGGTGAGTGTTCAGCATTCTGGATTGACGTAGCCTGTACGCGTGTAGCTCTGGAAGCATGGGTCGCGGCGGGCTGTGTTTGATGTTGTTGATGTCGCAGTTGACACGCAGGGACAGCGTCATAGGCGTCACACAGCAGCAGCGTTTCTGACGAGGTTCATTTGGACTCGCGCCTAGAGCTTGCGTTCTAGGGGGCCGTAGCCGACGCTGTGTTTCCTCTTGGCTGTTATCAAGAGTATTCGGAGGACCGTCAGCATTGGACCCGGTTGAAAGAGAGTTGAACCACACGGACGCCGATCATGCTGATTGATCGTCCGAGTGCAATATATTTCCGATTGTCACAGCTGAGCATGCACAGCTGCATCCAACTGCTGTGCTTACACGTGCCTATCGTCTATGCCAACGAGAGAGCATCAGCTACAAGTTGCAGGTCCGACACCCCCCCCTGGCTTCTGTACTACACACACTTCACGCACACACCCTCAACCTTTCCCCACTCCCCCAATGTTTGGAACCAATTTTGCAATTTTGCATGATTTTGTTCGGGCAACAGGAGATATACCGTTCTTGGGTAGACGACACAGCTCCAAGGAGCAGAGGGAAGGACAATATGCTCCCAGGGCCCGGCTATTACCGTTGTTGGAACAGCAGCCCAGAGCCCCAACCACCACCACCACGAAAGATGCCAACAAACGCCGAGGGGAAGCGAAAACGTGCGGGCGTCGGCGCCACTCTGGCGGGAGCCTGCTCGCTGCTGCTTGCCGCCGCTGCGCACCCGGCCGCGGCGGCGGTGGAGGCGGGAAGGCTCTTCAACGGCGGCGCCCCCACCGCCGCCAGCGCAGCCGGCGGATTCGGCGGCAGAAGGGGTGCATGTTGTGGCAGCGGCGGCGGAGGCCGCCGCCGCGGGTTCGCCGAGTACTCGACGCGCGGCTGCTTTGTCTTGTGCGTAACGCCGAGCTCGGCAAAGGCGGCGGCGGTGGCGGCGGAGTCGGAGCGTCGCTCGTCTGGACGAGCAGCGGGCGGCGGCAGGCTGGCGGCGACGTCCTCGGTGAGACGGACGCGGGCCGGAGCCGTCGCGTCGCAGCCTATCCTCGCGGGGGCGTTTCTGAACCGAGGGAGCTTGGACCAGCGTGGCGTTGCCAACCGCGGTGGTGATGGTTGTGTGTCTTTGGGGTTGAATAGAGGTGGTGGTGGCGGTGGCGATGAGGTCGGGTCTGGGGGTGGGGCTCGCGCGCTCGAGTGTGCGATGGAGGATGACCGGAAGGGGGGCCGCTTACGGGGACGCTTCCGACAGGTGTTGGACAAGATGAAAGGGCGTGCTGCTGCGCCACCGCCTGTCGCCGTAGCGGCGGCGGGGAACCAGATGATGTACGACCCGGGTCAGGTATGTGTCCCTTGTGTCTGTGTGTGTGCTGAGAGTTACCCGCAAATGTTTCTTAGAGCGAGATTGGAGGCAGTGTATTTTCTGGCCTTTGCACTGTACGCAGCGGTGCACGTGCCATTGTTTTACGCGTCAGACATCGCTAGCGTGCTGCCCAGAGCACCAACAAGCCAAGTGTCGCTGTCCACGAGAGACGTGTGGGAAAGGCAGCAGGTATCGGCCTGGACTAGAATGCAACGCTAGGTTTGCTATTTCGTCTTCCAGGGCTAAAAACACTGGTAACGGCCACTGGTTACGGCCGGGGGATCGCCGTCGAACGCATTCTCGCTTCAAGTATCGCACCAATAAAGCCACGCAACTCAACAGCCCCCCTGCCACGCAACTCCGGTGCTCACCAGGCGAGTCCACCCGCATTCCGCCGCCGAAACCACACCCGAAACGTCTATTTGTAGCATCCAACGAACCCAACTCTATATCCCCATGCTGCACGTTGCAACGCCTTGGTTACGTTGCAAAGAAACAAAATATTAATGTCTCGTAGGCTCGTGCCTTTGCGAGCACGAGCGGGCAGAGAAAGCCGTTAGATCTGCCGCTGTCGTATGCAAGGGCCACCGCCGCTGTTGTTGCGCAGTGTCTCAGCCGTACCCACACAACCGCAGTCACCACAACGCCTTCTTCCGTTTTTCACGTGCTGTATCCGCCACCGCTTTTGGGAAAATGTCGCTGTTTCCTCAAGCATCGGGAAGAAGAGGCCGTGGACCTGGCGAGCCTCAGGGCCGGCGGCAACGCCAGCACGTTCAACGCCGACGCTCACTGCCCGACCTGCCGAAAACAAGTGCCCTTCACGGAAGGTGAGGAACGAAACGCGCCATCTACTCGCAAGGAGTTCCCACCCCAAAGGATGTGCGAGGACCGGTGCTGTACCGTCGTAGTGTGGCCGAGAGGTTGTTGTTGTTGTTGTTGTTGCTGCTGTTTTTGGTGGTTGTGTTTTCTGGCGTCACCAAAGCCGCTCTGCCCCAAACTTGGGGAGTTGCTCGGTGTTCCGCGCTTTGGCACGGCCAGCTAGAGACGACTCTCGTGGCATGCTGGAGGCGTCAGCCAATCAGCCAACACGCTCGCTCGGTTCCCTCTCAAATCGTTCTTGCGCGGCAGCTGGCGTGGTGTCGAAGCTGCTCTTTGCTTGGGTCGGGCCGCTGATGGCTCGAGGGAACAAGAAGGCCATCGCCGAGGAGGTGAGTTTTTGCTTGTTTGCCTTTCTGACACCCCGACAGTCGCCGTCACCTAAATTCGTTTTTTCTATCAACTTTTGCTAGAAAGCCTGTAGTTGGTTATTTAGGTATGGTTTATGCTATGTTATCTATGTACCAGAGTGTTTTGGCGTTTGTGTGTAGTCTCGGTAACGGTCATTGGACATGCTTCACAGCCAATGCAGTTAAGTTGGGTCAGAATAGCAGGATGCATCGTATCGGCACACTTTCCTACTAACGCGTTTTGTTACGAGCGGAGCTGCCGACCACGCACACTGCCTATGCGCGGACCCCACAGCGTGGCACATGCTGGGATTGGTGCTGTCGCTGTTGTCGTCGTCTGTGCACCATCCAGCCTGTCCTCCCCCCGTGCTACTCGAGGAGAATGAGTGTCCGTGGTCAAAGGGTATACAACCTTGGCAAACGTTCAGTACTTTTAGTTTGTTACTGCACCTGTCGCCCATCCAGGCGATGCCGCGACCGAAGGTGATCGACGCTGCGAAAGACGCAATGCGAAACCGCCGCCTCCAGTGCTTGTGCGTGCAGTATTGACCGCGACAGACACGATGTCAGCATGGCCACTGGACGCATCGCGGCATCCATCCCTACAGGCTTCCTTCCCGCGGAAGCCGAGTGCAAACCCATCGACATTCAAGTCCGTTTTTTTTATTTGCGGGTATGCCGCGCTCAGAAAATGCCATGCGTGGACCTGAGGAAGAGACACCTCACGATGAGCACGTGCCCGGCTAAAACCGCGAAGCGATTATATCTATATGCCGAATGTACAGATGAAAACACAGAAAGCCAAATCACCACCCTCTCTACCCGTCGGTGATCGTTCCTTGTGGGAGCAATTCTCCGTCCTCTCGAGGACGCGCGGTCGATGGTCTATCCTCTATATGGCATGCAAAACATGAGTACACCCGCCCCTCGTTGCGCAACCTTCCTTTACTGACCGAGCACATCTCGACGAACACCCCCACAAACCAGGACCTGTGGGAGATGCCGCAAGACGAACAAATGCAGTCCGTCGCGGACGCCTTCGAAGCAGCGTACGCGAAGGAGAGCGCCGCGGACGCCGCCGTCCACCAAGGGTCGGACGGCCAGGGGAAGGGCAGGGGCTCCGCGGTGGTCACCGACGAGGGTATCTGGAGGAAGCATCACCCCCTGGTGCCGGGGCTGCTGGACACGGCCCTGATGCGCTCGCTGTACGTGCTGTACAGGAAGCCCTTCCTGACGGCGGGGGCGCTGCGGTTCATGAACACGTCGGTGCAGTTTCTGCCCGCTATCTTCGTGCAGCGCCTGCTGAGGTGTGTCTGTCGTTGTCGTCGTCGTGCCGACTGATCTCGTCGACGTTGTGCCGGGCGGGCACCGCCAGATGTTTGAGCAACTTGACTTTTCCACCCGTGCCGCGCGGTTTCACCAGCTCTAGTACACCGGGCGCCGACGCTACGGGGGGCGGCTCTTATTTTTGCTCACCCGGGGCGGTAGGTTGTAGGGCTCGAGGAGTGTAGGTGTGCCCGCATGTACGCTTCTTGACGGCCCGCGTTTCTCGTTTCCCTTGTCTTTGGGGACTGGGTGTTAGGAGCAGCCCTCCCCCGCAAACGCACACGCGCATCTCACGTGGATGTATGTCTCCTCGCTGCCTGCGCTTCGATGGACAAACGAGAAGGCTTCTCGAGTCCGGCATTGCGGCCGGGGGCGCGGGGGCGGTGAAGAAGGCGTACACGATCTGCGCCATGCTGTTCGCAGCGGTGTCCCTCAAGACGGCCATCGAGAACCAGTACTTCTACGCCACCAACAACATCGGCACCAGCACACGTGGAGTTCTCAGCACGGTGAGAGCTGCTTTTGTGTTTGCCGATTTTTTTTTTTGCTGTTGTGTACCGTAGGCGACACGTGAGGTATCACACCCCCTGGATTGATTTTCACAGCGCGATTACTCCGCGACAAATAGGATGTATAAATCAAACGATCCGTTTTCAGAAAGCGATCGACGAGACGGTTCCAACGCCTCCCGCCATTTTCGGCTTTGACACTCTTACTGTTGTGGAATACTCGAGCTTTGAAAATCATTCCCAAGGGGTGAAAGGTCTTGTGTCGTCTGTGGTGCATTTGTGGTTTTTGGAGGTGGGTGGTAGACGTAAATTATCGAGGTACAGCAGTAGCGGTGACGTGGGATTGGCTAGGTTGGTCGGCGGAGAACCTGTCGGCGAAGCCCTCCGTTGCTGTTCGAGCGGGGAGCGCACGGTGATTGAACTGAATCGATCAACAATTTCTCATGAAACGTAGACTCAAATTGAGTCTTTCACGGCATGATTGAGACCCCGCCCCAGTCTTTGACCGTTGTGCCAACCCCAAACCCCCCCGGGGTATCGCCCTCATGTGATCGGAACTTGTTGTTTTGCCGCCGCCGGTGTTTCTTCCCACGCCGTGATCAGGCGGTGTACCGGAAGAGCCTGCGGCTCTCGCCGTCCGCTCGCCAGAACGCGACGGTGGGCGAGATCGTGAACTACATGCAGATAGACGCGGGAAGGCTGGAGAACTTGGCCGGCAGCGTGCACACCATCTGGGACTCCGTTTTCCAGGTGAAGTAGTTCACCGATGCAACATACTGTACACTCCCAATGTTGCTGCCAAGAACAGGTGGCAGCGGTCACCGCCGTCGCATGAAAAAGCGAGTTTCCGTCGCATGCAGCTAGTTGGTGCTCCGTTTCCGCACTGCTGTCGGTTTTTTGGGGGGGTTTCGTGCCTCTCATGGCTGTTGTGAGCAGGGTGGCGTTTTGACGATACCCGCGAGAACGAAGTCTCCGACGATGAACGTGGAATACCGTACCGTACCACACTCGTGAGGCTGTACGGTATCACGAAGGGCGGTGGCCTTTTGTGGCTCCTACTAGATTGTCCCCCCTTGTACTCACAGGGGAGGATCACTCCGCGTGGCTAATTTTTTTCTCTTTTTCGTTAGGGCGTTGGACGCGCACCGCCTTGCGTGTGTTTGTCTCGCTGTGTACTTCTGCCGCTGCCTTGAAAAGCGTCGGCGGTTATGCCGTCGTCAAGGTGATGATCGCGCTGAACACGACAGCACTGCGGTGGCGTACGTTGAAAGGAGGGCGACCCGGGTATCGTTAGCGTTACTCCGTTTTTCCAACGACCGAAACCCTGTCGACTCAATCCACAGGCGCCATCGTCGGCCGCAGTATGATACCTCTGTCCACCCGTCTCCCGTGTCGTGTGCAGATGACCGGATACACGGTGCTGCTCTTGCTTTGCCTCGGACCTTCCGTCCTGGCTGGTATTGGCGTCATGATTCTTCTCATTCCGGTGAGCCCTTCGTTTCTAACTCTCTGGTGGTACCCTTTTTTTCGTGGGTTTTGGTGTTCTTTGGGCGACAGAGGGTGGAGACAAGAGCGAATCGTTGTGATGGAAGTGAGAGAAGGTACTTGCTGGACTGCCCTCTGCTTGCCAACAGCGCAGCATTCAAAGCACGCCCAACTTCTTTTAAAGACGCCGGAGCGAAGGCTCGCTGTTTTGTTCCCGCTGCTTGCTGTCCCTCCTTACCGTGTATGCTCGCCCTTTATTTTGAGAATGGCGGGTACTGTAGGCTAGTTTCAACCGATCCGCGGGCAGGAAGACACACCTAGTGTGACTCATGTAACTCCAACTTTTCCAAGAGGTACCATCTCCAGCATGCGCAGAAGTTGATGTTCGTTTCGAAGCCCCCGCCATGCCCCTAAGTCATTCTGTCGCCCCAACACTCCGTTCTTTTCGCATCCTTGTTCACAATTGTCTCTCGTCCACCGGGCGCACCCGGACTTGCCGCCGAAAATCCACACAAACACGACCAGCTGAACACGGCTCTTTTCAACGAGCTCAGCACCTACAGAGCGGAGATGTCCACGCAAACCGACTTGAGGGTGAAGGTGAGACGAGGAATCAGTCGCGTCGCCGATGCCGCTTGCTCATTTATGAGTAGCGTCTCCGTGGTAATAGAGTATGTTCTGCTGCCATCTCTTTTCCCCCTGGCGGCCGAGAAGTGGAGCACGCTCACTGGTCTGCTGTTCGTAGCCTCTTACGTACTTCAGATCTGAATGAGCTTCTGAATGGGCTTCAGGGGTTTCTTTCTTCGATGGTAAGACCCTGAGAATGCACTCACCCCCGAGGTTACCGGTGGGGGTATGTGGGAGCTTCTCCCCTGTGCCCGGGCCCGGCCTGCATCCGACCAAGTATCGGCCTCTTTGTTGCGGTAGTATTGCGTCGGAAGGGGCAAGACATGGGTTCAGAGATGTAGATCCCGTGTCTTGGAGATTTGCGGATTTTTTTTTAGCTTTTACGGAGACAGTTTGCCCGCCGCTCAAAACGCGCGATCGCTCTCGGGTATTTCTCCTGTTTCGCGGTATTTCCATAATGTCACGGAAGTACCTTGTTTTCGGCCGCGCGTTTCTCCTTGTTTCGATGCCGGGTGCGAAAAACAGCTCGTGAACGAGATGCTTCAAGGCATCCGGGCCATCAAGTTCTACAACTGGGAGACGCCGTTCCGAGAGCGGGTGGAGAAGATACACGACGCCGAGCTGAGCATCTTCCGGAGGGCGGTCACGAAACGCTCGCTCGTCGTTTCGGTCCTATCGACTACCCCGGCCATCGTCATCGCCGTCACACTCGGCCTCTACAGGTTCGCTGGGGGGGGGTCCGGCGTGTGCATCAGTACAGATATCCCCCGCACAAAAGATCGTCGAGGCTGGGGTGCCTCGTTGGTCTTCGTGGGCCACAAATGGCCGCTATATTGCTTTGTTGCAGGGGTTCTCAACCGGGGCTCACAAAACAATGCTCACATTCTCGTTCTTGATATACGGTCATTTTTGTTTTTTTCCGGTGGCAGTTGCCGCGATATATGCTCTCCGCATCCTTGGTTGTTGGACGGTGTTGTAGGTTGGGGATGTTCTGGTGTAGGTCGGGGGGGGGGGGGGGGGGAATCCGGGCCCCCAAACTTCCCTTGCAAGGAAGGGTGTGTTGATTGTTCCCCCTTTTAAGGGGTGGGTTGATTTTTTTTTCCCCCAAAACCTTTTTTCCCCCCCGGTTTTTTTTCCCTCCCGCCCCCCGGGAAAAGCGTTTTAAACCCCCCCAAAGGGCCATTCCCACCCCCCTTGGGG